TGTCCAGTTTTGGGCCCCACACTTCAAGAAGGATGTGGATAAATTGGAGAGAGTCCAGCGAAGGGCAACAAAAATGATTAGGGGTCTGGAACACATGAGTTATGAGGAGAGGCTGAGGGAGCTGGGATTGTTTAGCCTGCAGAAGAGAAGAATGAGGGGGGATTTGATAGCTGCTTTCAACTACCTGAAAGGGGGTTCCAAAGAGGATGGCTCTAGACTGTTCTCAATGGTATCAGATGACAGAACGAGGAGTAATGGTCTCAAGCTGCAGTGGGGGAGGTTTAGATTGGATATTAGGAAAAACTTTTTCACTAAGAGGGTGGTGAAACACTGGAATGCGTTACCTAGGGAGGTGGTAGTATCTCCTTCCTTAGAGGTTTTTAAGGTCAGGCTTGACAAAGCCCTGGCTGGGATGATTTAACTGGGAATTGGTCCTGCTTCGAGCAGGGGGTTGGACTAGATGACCTTCTGGGGTCCCTTCCAACCCTTATATTCTATGATTCTATGATTCTAAATTCTGGTTTTAAAACTTAAATTATATTCTGTTAAAATGTATTTGATATCATTCCAGTTAGAAACTTGAAGAAAAAAAGTATTTAACTGAAAATCTAATGTAATAAAAGATGTTATCACAATCAGCGAAAATCCATAAAATTCAAGCTCAAAGTTGATTGACAACCCTTAGCTTTCTCTTGGTTGTTGGATGTTTATTACAACCTTGTTATTTATTGCAGTTTTTAAAGTTTAATCTACATATATTTACGAGGAAAACTTTAACTATTAAAGATATAACTTGACAACAATGCCATCTAGTGTACATTTTAAATTAGCATGATGTGTTTGTTTTTAAAATATTTATCCTGTAACATACCACAGAGAGCTAGGGAGGGAAATATGCTATGTACAAATTGTATGTCTAAAATTGAAGAAGGGTTATATGACAGCAAGGATATCTTAAGTGTTCAATACCTAACACTGAGGTTTGTTGGTGGTGGTTTTTTGTGTTTTTGTTTTGTTTTTGGCGGGCGGGGGTTAGAAGGATGTAAAAATCTAACTATAATTAAGCATATTAGAACTTATTCCCTCGAAGATGCAGCTCTGGCTCAAACAGTAAAAGCACAAGGAAAACCAGTTTTTGAAAGCAAATGATAAGAGGCAACTTAAGAGGAATAAAAGAGGAAAGCAGGAAAGTAATAGAGATTTATAGTGATCCTCAAAGGTGAAGGTGAGAGTGTTGAGAATAAGGTTTATAATATGAAGCTAGCTTCAACGTTAACAATGGAGCAGCTATTGCTGCCTGATAAATCCAAACTGCTAATGAAAACTGTAGGTTTCTTTCTGTACACCATATACTATAATTATGCTGCCATCTACTGAAATGTTATTTCATTAAGTATTTAGGATTGTGTATAGGATAGTTAAAAACAGGTACTTGAAGACAATATTCGATAAAGATAATCAATAAGGTTCCACTGAAAAGGAGCCAAGATACAAAGATGTGCATATAACAACAAACACCTCGTGTGATCTTTCACTGCTGGAACCCATAACCTTTCCCCGTACCTTTTGTTGACCATTACCCATTGCTGTAATACAGTAAAGGATGCCTTAATTTAAGAACATAAGAACAGCAATACTGGGTCAGACCAAAGGTCCATCTAGCCCAGTATCCTGTCTTCCGACAGTGGCCAATGCCCAGAGGGAATGAACAGAACAGGAAATCATCAAGTGATCCATCCCCTGTCGTCCATTCCCAAACAGAGGCGAGTGACACCATCCCTGCCCATCCTGGCTAACAGCCATTAATGGACCTAACCTCCATGAATTTATCTAGTTCTTTTTTGAACCCTGTTATAATCTTGGCCTTCACAACATTCTCTGGTAAGGAGTTCCACAGGTTGACTGTGCGTTGTGTGAAAAAATACTTCCTTTTGTTTGTTTGAAACCTGCTGCCTATTAATTTAATTTGGTGACTCGTAGTTCTTGTGTTATGAGAAGGAATAACCAACCTTATTTACTTTCTAAACACCGGTCATGGTTTTATAGACCTGTATCATATCCCCCCTTAGTAGTCTCTTTTCCAAGCTGAAAAGTCCCAGTCTTATTAAGCTGTTCCATACCCCTAATCATTTTTGTTGCCCTTTTCTGAACCTTTTCCAATTCCAATATATCTTCTTTGAGATGGGGCAACCACATCTGCACACAGTATTCAAGATGTAGGCATACCATGGATTTATATAGAGGAAATATGATATTTTCTATGTTATTATTTATCCCTTTCTTAATGATTCCCAAGATTGTGTTAGCTTTTTCGACTGCCGCTGTACCTTGAGCGGATATTTTCAGAGAACTATCCACAATGACTCCAAGATCTGTTTCTTGAGTGGAAAACGCTAATTTAAACCTCATCATTTTATATGTATAGTTGGGATTATGTTTTCCAATGTGAATTACTATACATTTATCAGCAGTGAATTTCATCTGCCATTTTGTTGCCCAGGCACCCAGTTCTGAGAGATCCTTTTGTATGTCTTTGCAGTCTGCTTGGGACTTAACTATCTTGAGTAGTTTTATATCATCTTCAAATTTTGCCACCTCACTGTTTACCCCTTTTTCCAGATCATGTATTAATATGTTGAATAGAACTGGGCCCAGTACAGACCCCTAGAGGACACCACTATTTACCTCTCTCCATTCTGAAAACTGACCATTTATTCCTTCCCTTTGTTTCCTATCTTTTAACCAGTTAGCAGTCCATGAGAGAACCTTGCCTCTTATCCCATGACTGCTTAAGGGCCTTTGGTGAGGGACCATGTCAAATGCTTTCTGAAAATCTAAATACAATATATCCACTGGATCCCCTTGTCCACATGCTTGTTGACCCTCTCAGAGGCATGATTTCCCTGTACAAAAACCATGTTGACTATTCCCCAACAAATTATGTTCATCTATGTGTCTGACAGTTTTGTTCTTAACTATAGTTTGCCCGGTACTGAAGTCAGGATTAACGGCCTGCAATTGCCAGGGTCACCTCTGGAGCCCTTTTTAAAAATTGGCTTCACATTTGCTATCCTCCAGTCATTTGGTACAAAAGCGGATTTAAACGATAGGTTACAGATGACAGTTAGTAGTCCTGCAATTTCACATTTGAGTTCCTTCAGAACTCTTGGGTGAATACCATCTGGTCCTGGTGACTTATTACTGTTTAGTTTATCAATTTGTTCCAAAACCTCCTCTAGTGACACCTCAAGCTGGGAAAGTTCCTCAGATTTGTCACCTAAAAGGAATAGCTCAGGTTTGGGAATCTCCCTCACATCCTAAACAGTGAAGACCAATGCAAAGAATTCATTTAGTTTCTCCACAATGGCCTTATTGTCCTTGAGAGCTCCTTTAGCATCTCAATCGTCCAGTGGCCCCACTAGTTGTTTAGCAGGCTTCCTGCTTCTGATGTACTTAAAACATTTTTTGCTATTACTTTTTGAGTTTATGGCTAGCTGTTGTTCAAATTCTTTTTTGGCCTTCCTAATTATATTTTTACACTTTATTTGCCAGAGTTTATGCTCCTTTCTATTTTCTTTATTAGGATTTAACTTCCACTTTTTAAAAGGATACTTTTTTGCCTCTCACTGCTTCTTTTATTTTGTTGTTTAGCCACAGTGGCTCTTTTTTGGTTCTCTTATGTTTTTTAATTTGGGGTATTCATTTAAGTTGAGACTCTTATTATGGTGTCTTTAAAAAAAAGTTTCTATGCAGCTTGCAGGGATTTTACTTTTGGTGCTGTATCTTAATTTCTGTTTAACTAACCTTCTCATTTTTGTGTAGTTCCTCTTTCAGAAGTTAAATGCTACAGTGTTGGGCTGCTGAGATGTTTTCCTTGCCACAGCGATGTTAAATTTAATTATAGTATGGTCACTATTACCAAGCGGTCCAGCTACATTCACTGCTTGAACCTGATCCTGTGCTCCACTTAGCACTAAATCAAGAATTGCCTCCCCCTCCTGTTGGTTCTCGGACTAGCTGCTCCAAGAAGCAGTCATTTAAGGTGTCAAGAAACTATCTCTGTATCCCTTCCTGAGGTGATATGTACCCAGTCAATATGAGGATAGTTGAAATCCCCCATTATTATTGAGTTTTTTATTTTAATAGCCTCTCATCTCCCTGAGTATTTTACAGTCACTATCACCATACTAGTCAGGTGGTCTGGAATATATCCCTACTGCTATATTCTTATTATTCAAGCATGGAATTACTATCCATAGACCATCTATGGTACAGTTTTGGTTCATTTAAGATTTTTAGTTCATTTGAGTCTACGCTTTCTTTCACATATAGTGCCACTCCCCCACCATCATGACCTGTTCTGTTCTTCTGATATATTTCGTATCCTGGTATTACCGTGTCCCATTGATTATCCTCATTTCACCAAGTTTCTGTGATGTCTATTATATCAATATCGTCATTTAATATGAGGCACTCTAGTTCGCCCATCTTATTATTTAGACTTCTAGCATTGTATATAAGCACTTTAAAAACTTGTCACTTTTTAGCTGTCTGCCATTACATGATGTAATTGAATGGGACTTTTTTTCTTCTGGCTGTCATGATCCTCCAAACACTTACATACATATTTAACTTTAAGCATGCAAGTAATCTAATTGACTTCAACTAAGTCCGTGCTGGCACAGAGACCCACCAGTGCAGATCACATTCCAGAATCCAGGAAGTTAGCAATTAAAATGTTTCAGAGCTTTATAGAGATGGATTTTTTAATTCATAATTGATGAAGAAAAAAAATTATCCAGAATCTTAGGTTTAAACTGCTGACTTACAGTTCATTTCTCATTAGATGACAGAAAGCACTTTTTACCAGGGGATTAACTATACTGCAAAGTCAAAACATCCCAAGCTTATGATTACTTTTGAGAGAACACAGTAAATCTTTTCAGAAGTTCCAGGCAATTTAAAAATACAACAAAAAACCCAAGTAAATCTGTACTCACCTGGGAAAATATATTTGCAGTTGGAGCAACTTTGTTGTCCACAATACTGTATAATATTGCTAACAATCTGTCCAGGGGGAATGGCTTTGGCCCAAGGAGGTGATTACTGGTCTGTAAGAGAGAAGGCATTCAATTAAATGGATTTTTCTGGAGCACAGCACTACGGGATCTTATTTATTATACCTATTAGTCTTTAGGTGGCAATTTATTTACAGTATCCCTTCTCAAAGGCCCACAGCCACTGTATGGAAAACATTCAATAGATACACAGCTCTGAATTTACACAGAGACCCATTTAACCTGGCAGGTGTCCAAAATGCTTTATGCATAATTAAGAACACATTTAGGACATAAAACAATTTTGTCAAATATATATAGTGTTAAAGGTAAAAAAAGAATTATTATTTAGTCCTAAGGACAGAAGTTGGCAGACTACATTTCACGGCATTCTCAAGTTGTAAACAGCTTTATTTTATTATTTATTGGTGTTAGTGTGCTAGGATCCTTCATGTGAATGTTCTACAGTCCCTAGTTGTAGCTAATGTTGCAAAAGGGAAAAAATTCTATTTTCTCACAGGTCTTCAGTTTCCTGTCAGTCATAAAGAGCCCAACTCACCTAGGACTCAATTGTGCCATGCTTATTTAGATTCAGCACTATCATGGGACTACTCAGGGAGCAAGGTACAACCCTCACTACGGGTAACAGAATTGAGTGCTAAACAATGTAAGTCAGTTTTATCCCAATTAAGAACTGTTTTAACAAGAGCTTCTGTACCTGATGCTTACTCTTCACTTATCATAAAAATCATAATACCACTGTCACACAGAATAGTGACTTCAATAGAAGAATACGACATCTAAAAGAAAAAAAATAAAACTGTTTTCCTGCAAGATGTTTATAAACAAAAAAAGGGGGAGGAAAAGAAAGATATAGAAAATAAGAGTTGTCTCTGGAAAAAAAAAAAAGTCCTAAATTTCCCATGTTAATGGGTCCTTCAGGAACTAGAGAGTTTTTTTTTTTTTTTAAAAACACTAAACTGTTATATAGAATTGTCTAGGTACTTATAGCAGGGAGAGTACATACATCAGAGTACCTCACAAAAAATTATCTTCACAACATCTCTGTAAGCACCTCTCTATTTTACAGATGGAGAGCGGATGCAGAGAGATCAATGACTTCAAGATTGCATAGGAAGTCTGTGGCAGAGCCGGTGACTGAAAGTAGATTTTGAATCCCAGGTCAGTGCCTTAGCCACAAGACCATTTTTCCCCTCTCCTGACACTATTAAACACAAAAGTGGGCAGTGTGAATAACTCTGATTTAAAAAACAAAAACCCCAATAAACAAGTCACCCAGAGCACAAGTACTGGATTTGATTTATTGTTATTGTCATCACATAACCTACTACACACCCACACAATCAGAAGCTATATTTGCCAGGCAAGTGGCTCTTAGAAGCCTATTAGCCTCAAATATGTTGTTACTTTAAACATATAAATACATAAAGAGAACATTTTGTATATTTTGCTTATTGAACACAAGTGCTTTATTGGCATTTTTATTTCCAAGAGGTCCATCCATTAAGGAGATTCTACTAGGAATTTTACTTTAGTCACGTTCTCAGAGTCAGTACCTTAACCTAAGCCCCTTTACTTAGAGCAGTGGTTCTCAAAGCTGGTCCACCGCTTGTTCAGGGAAAGCCCTTGGTGGGCAGGACCAGTTTGTTTCCCTGCCGCGTCCGCAGGTTCCGCCAATCGCGGCTCCCGCTGTCCGCGGTTCGTCGCTCCAGGCCAATGGGGGCTGCGGGAAGAGGCGCGGGCCAAGGGACATGCTGGCCACCCTTCCCGCAGCCCCCATTGGCCTGGAGTGGCAAACTGCGGCCAATGGGAGCCAAAAATCAGCCAATCCCGCAGATGCGATAGGTAAACAAACCGGTCCATCCCACCAGGGGCTTTCCCTGAACAAACGGTGGACCGGCTTTGAGAACCACTGACTTAGAGCAACCACATTAGTTTTTATACATTCCAATGGTAATTGTGCTAAAAATAATTTCAATTTTAAACAATTTAAGAGTCTCAAAGTCATGTTATAAAACCCAAACAATGCTGCAATGAATTAATTTGACATCTATATCATAAAAGCACTCAGGTAGCATTTTGAGCAATCCTCCCAATACTTCCCCCCAAAAGAGAACATTTTAAAGATGAGGAAAAATGGGGTAGATGGGATAAACGATTTGGCCCCAGAGACAATTAGTGTCAGAGCCAGAATTAGAACTCAGGAGATCCTGGCAACATCTAATCTCTCAAACTACTGTCGTGACATCCTTTTAGTTTAGGATGTCATTTGAATAACTTGATGGAATCGTTTCTTTTTAATGTAGTGCAGGTCACCTACCACCTTATTACAGGCCTGTCTCTCTTCTTTTAGGATTTGAATAAAGTCAGTAACATTACTTTTACTTTAACTCCTTCCAGTAAAGAAAAATCATCATCACCAGTAGTCACAGGAGCTTTGTAATTGCTTGCCCTATGTTGCATCTAAAACTTTCAAGTTCTCCTGGGGAGTAGGATTAACTGTGGAAGCTGGAAAGAAAGAAGCTTTCCTGAGCACAATACTGAAATTAGCTATGAAATTCTGCTCTGAGACTAACTCCAAGAGACCATCATTATACAGGATTTTCTAAAATTAGGAATATACCCAAGAAGCTGTAATGCTCTCTAGATTTCAGTATGAATGGAATAAGAATTAGGGTCAGGTCCAGGGGTGAGGCTGGCAGCAAGTATGTGTAGACGGGTGGGAGAGAGGAGAAGTGAACGCTTGTTCCTATATTCTTGACAGGAATGATTGAGGTACATGCCATACAAAAACAAAATTAGTGAAGGAAGCCCTTGTTTAAGATGGTCTGTATAAGGAATGCAGGCAGGTGGGGATGCACCAATGTCACAGAGTAGAATTTGGTTCAAAGAGTAACTTTCACTTTATTTTTTTAAGTATGTATATACATATACTTTAATTAGCTAACAGCAATAATTAGAGTACAAAGATTTGCGTAACCACTGTACAGATACTTCTCAACAGTACTGGGAATTCACAAGTCTCTCTACTGTGACTGACTCCCATACTTTGAAGTTTCAGACTATTTACTAGAAACAGTACCTTGTGAAAAAGCCCTATAATTTAATAGGGATAGAATTAAATAAGATCCTTTCAAAAGGATTTCAAAAGCAGTTTATAGAATTCTGTAGCAGAAACTATTAAAATTCCCATACGCATAGTTTAGAAATTTTCAAGTCTCATTTCTATAAGACTTTTGTACAAGGAGCTAAGCAGAAAAACTTCATTATATATGAAATACTTAAAAACTTATAAAAGACACTTTCCCTTTCAGAATTTTTTATACTTTTTTCTTTGTATTCTTTTTAAAAGCTCTTCTGATTCATTTTTCTCTTTCCCAGCTTTCTTCACCACAAACACCTTGTACTTTCTTCCCTGAAAAGCTCCCTCCACTTCAACTAAGGCTTTTCTCCTAGTTGGCATTACTTGTGTTTACATTCTTCTTTTACAGTGGAAGATCCCCTACCTCTCGGTTATTTATTTGACTTAACTCTCTGATCACACCACAAGTTTACACCGCTTCACAAAACCCGATCAATGTACCCAAGCTTTAAGATTTCTTAAAGGAGTGACAGCCTGATGTATTCAAAAAGAACAGAACGCCACTAGCGGTCACCTTCAGCCCCCAACTAAAACCCCTCCAACGCATTATTAAGGATCTACAACCTATCCTAAAGGATGACCCTACACTCTCAAGTCTTGGGAGACAGGCCAGTCCTTGCCTACAGACAGCCCCGCAACCTGAAGCAAATACTCACCAACAACCACATACCACACAACAGAACCACTAACCCAGGAACTTATCCTTGCAACAAAGCCCGTTGCCAATTGTGCCCACATATCTATTCAGGGGACACCATCACAGGGCCTAATAACATCAGCCACACTATCAGAGGCTCGTTCACCTGCACATCCACCAATGTGATATATGCCATCATGTGCCAGCAATGCCCCTCTGCCATTTACATTGGTCAAACTGGACAGTCTCTACGTAAAAGAATAAATGGACACAAATCAGATGTCAAGAATTATAACATTCATAAACCAGTCGGAGAACACTTCAATCTCTCTGGTCACGCAATCACAGACATGAAGGTCGCTATCTTAAAACAAAAAAACTTCAAATCCAGACTCCAGCGAGAAACTGCTGAATTGGAATTCATTTGCAAATTGGATACTATTAATTTAGGCTTAAATAGAGACTGGGAGTGGCTAAGTCATTATGCAAGGTAGCCTGTTTCCTCTTGTTTTTCCCTACCCCCCCCCCCAGATGTTCTGGTTTAACTTGGATTTAAACTTGGAGAGTGGTCAGTTTAGATGAGCTATTACCAGCAGGAGAGTGAGTTTGTGTGTGTATGGAGGTGGGGGGGATGTGAGAAAACCTGGATTTGTGCAGGAAATAGCCCGACTTGATTATGTAAAGAGTTGTCACTTTGGATGGGCTAGCACCAGCAGGAGAGTAAATTTGTGTGGGGGGGTGGAGGGTGAGAAAACCTGGATTTGTGCTGGAAATGGCCCACCTGTTGATCACTTTAGATAAGCTATTACCAGCAGGACAGTGGGGTGGGAGGAGGTATTGTTTCATATTCTCTGTGTATATATAAAGTCTGCTGCAGTTTCCACGGTATGCATCTGATGAAGTGAGCTGTAGCTCACGAAAGCTCATGCTCAAATAAATTGGTTAGTCTCTAAGGTGCCACAAGTACTCCTTTTCTTTTTGCGAATACAGACTAACACGGCTGTTACTCTGAAACCTGTGAGAAACAGGATACTGCAATTGCTCCGGAAAGCCACTTAAAGTGTTGCATAGATCAGATTAAATACAGATTAAATACAGATTAAACCCTAGGATACACTTCTCAGTTTCTTATATGGAACCATCTCAACCCAGGAGCTGAAGTTTAGTATCAAGGGAACACATTCAACTCCAAGCTATTTTCCATACAGTAAAGGTGTTTTCTCAATTCTAATAAATGGAATTATGTAGAATACTTTTAGGGGCTCCAAACAGAGATTCTAATTAGAATCAGTCTTACTTTGAAGCTAAATACTGCAAGGAAGTAGCTTGAATCCCAGGAATTAGATCACTCAAGTCTTAAGAGCAGCTTCCTATACTAGCAAAGCAAGGCTTGCAGTCTGACTCAATGGTGGCTAGAAAAAAATGTCACCCCATACCAATGCTCTAGCCAAACAAAAAACAAACAAACAAAAAAACAATTTTAGGTACACGTGGCAATGTTCAATGTAAATGGTAATTCAAAAGGTTCATTTTAATTTGAGACAAAGAATTCTTCCTTTAAAAAATATGTTTTGTGGTCATGACATGTGCTAGATTAACCATTCAAACTGGTAAGAGTCCGCTATTTATCTGAAAGTCATTTATGTTGTGGGCAGCAACAAAAGCTTCTTCAATCCACACCACTCACGTGCCTCAACCCTACTGTAGGGTAACACTTACGCTGTGTCTACACTATGAGCTAGGGGTGCGATTCCCAGCTTGCGTACACAATCACTGAGCTAACAAGAGTATGAATAGTGAAACCACAATAGCAGAGGAGGCAGCAGCACAGCTTAGCCATGCTGTGACCCAAGGACATCTTGGTGTCAACTGGCAGAGGGGTGAATAAGGTTTAGAAGGCTCCACTGCATCTGACATCTCCAAAATAAGAGTGCCAAACGGTGGCATGTGAGGTCTCAATACACTGGTCATTTTAGTCACTGTGAAATATATGAATGAATAATATTTAAGATAATACTTATTCAGATGGGAATTATGTTCTTAAAGCCTTGAAGTTAAAAGCAGGTCACCAGGAGGTGACTGGCCTTGGACAAATTCATTCAGGCAGGGGATTGGAGATTCATCTCTTTTTGTTTGGTCACGTGTGAATTGTGCATCGTCTCTCTCACAAGGTAAGCCTATCAGCATGCGGAGCCAGATGCTAATTAAAAGACTGCAAGGTCAAAAAGAGGGAGGCCACAGGGAAGAACAATCAGCAGGCGATGCCCTGATTATGAATAATGATCAAAAAGCTATTTTGATATATCTGGGACTGAAAAGAGGACAATGTGATTTGTCTCATGAATGGAAGATCACAGCCAAGCCTGGATGAAATACACCAGAAGGACTTTGGATCAATTTTTGTTCTATATGATAGGACAATGTCTTGTTAATTAAATATAGGCTTTAGAAAGTGTTACGATTTTATATGTAACCGTTTCCATTAATTCTACTTGCTTTTTCTTGAGTCTGTATTTCTTTGTTAATGTTTTGTTTTTCCTACAAACGTATATAAGTACTGTGTGCTGAGTGGAGTGGTGATCCTGAAGTGTAACCGGTAAGCTGGTGTACACTATTCCTTTGGGAGCACTGGATCTGTGAATTCAGAGTGTCCAGTGGAACAGGGGCAGACACTCCAGGGGGACACTTGCGGTGCTCAGAGGTTGCAGTATACCTTATCGTTACCTGTAAAGACAGAGCAGGGCCTGCAGAGGCCTGGAAGGCAGTGCTTGTATTGCCAGAGGCTAGTAGTGTTGGGGAACTGACCCACAGTAGGCGCAGATAAGGCTTCCTTGTCATAAGGGAAGGTGCCTCACAACTCTGGGCGTCCCCAGGAAGTGTCACGTGCCAAGTGCGTCCTGACCAGTTTCAGGCTTGTTTGTACTCGATGAGAGGTAGTGCAAGTATGTGTATGAGAGCTGGGAACCACATCTCTAGTTTGTGCTACAGATGCAGTCATGGAGAAGTTTAAATCTACATGCTAATACTGCTAATAAGTGCGTGCCAGTTAGTGACAAGCTAACAGGCAGAGGCTAACAAACCGTGGAAGTAAGGAAAGGTTTAAATAAGTGAAAACAGAAATAGGCAGGGGCTTTATTGAAAAAAATTGAAAATAGGAAAAGAATTTGTAAAAAACAAAACAGAAAAAAGGTAATTGACTCAATCAGCAATTTGTGCACTAACTAGTTTATGTCACTTCATGATCTTGTCACTGTTACATTGACCTCCTTCCTCTTCTTACTCCATGTTACACTCACTTTTTGCATCTTGTTTTACATTAGATTGTAAAATCTTTGGTGGCATGGACCACATCTTACTATGTGTTTGCACAGCACCTGTGGGTGCTTAAATAAACAAACAAACAAATAGAAATAAAATATTTATAAATATAAAACTTTTTTTTTAAATGCAAGTACATCTGTCCACTAGGGATTAGACAGAGACATCAATCCATCTCCAATAAACTATGACGCTAATGGTGCTAGCCCTTGGTCACAGTCAGTCAATATGAATCCAATTCAAAATAGAGACCATGAACTGGAGGGCTCTATGTCCCATCATCAAATCTCTGGTTATCCAGCTGCTTTGTGTTCCTGCCTTTCCCCATCTTGCCACCTTAAATGAGATATTATTGCCTATAGGAAAGAGAGCAAGGCACCTCCTGCAGCTGGAGGGGAAGGATGAAGATTTGGGCTGTGATGCAGTATTTATTCATTCCTGTTTCTCTTTCCCTCCCACAAGACCTGTGATCACAACTTGAGATGTGGATGTTTTTCAGGGTAGAGAACAGTCCTGAAAATAATTAGAATCTTTGAAAATCCTCTGGAGTTCACATGCCAGAGACAAAACACATGAGAGTTCTATAACTAAAGGATACTTGTTTTCTATGGAGTTAAGGATTTACAAGATAGATGTTAATATAAATAAGTTTCTTAACATTTCACATCATTCTAGACAGGTGAAATTATGTGGATTAAGAATTTTTTTTTTTAATATACCAATTTACACATATGTTACTCAGTCATAGGATCAAATTCTCTTCTAGCGTACACTGGTGCAACTCCACTGAAATCCATGCAGTTACAACAACTTATTTGGGTAAAGGGTTTGGCCACTATTCTTTAAATCCTTTCTCCTGATGGAATAATTACAAATTTCCTTAAGGAACATACATTTTCCTTACACACAACAGACAAGCAGTCAAACTTTAACCCTGAGTGACTAAAGTTAGGTTCCTAAATCCATATTTAGGCACCTAAAAGTGGTCTGATTTTCAAAGCTACTGAACATCTAACTAACAGCGGGGTTTACATGTACTATGACTAAGGTGAAGATTTTGTCATGTTATTTTTTGTGAAAGTCACAGACAGGTCACAGGCAATAAACAAAAATTAATGAAAGCCTTGACCTGTCTGTGACTTTTGCTGCTGCGGTTCCATGGTTTCTCCCACTACAGTAGTGGCTGGGACCTGTGGGGTTCCCCCTCTGCCAAAAGCAGCTGAGAGCTTTGGGAAACATGGTCACCCTGGAGAGAAAATGGGACACCCCATCCGCTCATCCGAGGTGTCCCCTCCCCCTAATCAAGGCTGTCGCCCATCACTGGAACCCTGAGGCGGGCCCCTTCAGGAGTCTGTCACCTGTGGCTAGAACTTCGCAGGAGACCCCCACCCCGTCACTTGCTGCTGCTGTCAACTGTTGCTGGAACCCTGCCAGAGCCCCACTGGCTGTCTGTTCCAGAGTCCTGCCGCCCCTGGGTCTGAAGCAGAGAATGTCATGGAGGTCTCTGGAAGTCACGGATTCTGTGACTTCCATGACCTCTGTGACATAAACATAGCCTTAACTATGACCTTCTAAATACCAAGTCCCATATTTAGCTAATACATCAGTGCCTATTCAATTAATTTTATACCTAAATATGGATTTGGGAGCCAAACTTGAGGCACCAGATTTGAAGATTTTGGCCTATTGTTCCTCTCACATTGTATGTGCACAGAATTTTGTCCATAAAGTTTAAACTTAGTCTCAGACATAAAAAAGAGGATGAAGCAATGGGTCTCTGCTTTTCTAACATGAGCCACATCAGTATTTTTTTTTTTTTATAAGCAAAACCACTGCACCACTTCACATCTGAAGGAAAAGTGGTATTGGTTTAAAAAAGTAGAAACATGAGAAATGTACAAATTGATGTTATCTAACAAGACCAGTAATCTCCACTACATGACTAATTAAATGTAATGCGTGTCCTCTTAAAACAAAAATATGTCTATTAATAAATTACAACACCTTGTATGAAAAGTAAACGTCAAGTAAACCAATAAACTAGAGATTATAGCAGGCAATGCTCTTGTATGCTCTTTAAATCATACATTCAGGTGGCAAGGGGAAAATATATAGCCACTACTACAGGTGAAAGCAGTATTTAGTTGTGAGTGAGGATTGAAAGCTAAATAAATACCTTTTCATGTTTTTTCAAAAAGTTTGTCTTCTTGATTTTCCCATGATGCTGTAAACACAGAAGCAAAATATGAGCAAATATGACAGCAAAAAGTTACAATGTTATATAACTTGAATAGGGTGGGGAAAAAAAACGAACGTACAACTGTTCATTACATATTTATAGTAATGTACTACTACCATAGTTCTGCCTACTTATCACATGCCAATTAGTTATCTTTGTCCTTAACAGCATACTGCTTATTCAGTATCTAACACACTCTAGGCATAACTTCTTGGCTCCCTCATATATAAACTGTGTGAACATTGGGTGAAAACTTTCACCCTGCGGTGTTGCGATGTTTGTAAAGTGGTTTATTGGGGGGGGGGGAAGGGGGAATGTACAAATTTAAAAATCAGAAAATTAAATACTTAGCCATCAGAAAATAAATTAATTTGACACTAATCAGAAGAGGCAGAGAGCCATTTCTATGAGTCTCCTTCCACCTCACCCCATCCCGTGCCTCAAAATCAGCTTGAGAAAAGGCCATAGTGTGTTTCCTTTGTCTTTCTAGAAATGGGAAAGCGGCTGCCCCTTGATCTTTAAATGCATCCAGTTTGCACCTACATCATTTTTGAAGTCTATACAAGGAACTCAGTTTTATTTCGTTTATATTTAAGATGACAACAGGATAGCCAAAAATAAAGCAATAAAGTGTCAAAAAGAGGCCAACATACAGGATGTGAAGGTCACGTCAAGAGTAGACAGGTAAAAATGTAACTGGAATAAAGAAAGTAGCTGATGTCCTGTGAGCAGATAAAATTCATCTAGAAGGATTGTGTTGAGGGAGAAAGGATTGGATCAAGGAAGGGCAAAGCACAGGGGCTGAGGAAGAAATAAGGAATTGATGGAGGGGTAAGGGAAAGATAATTGGAGTTTTTAAAATTACCTGGATTGCGGGTGGTGGGTTATATGAATTATACTGTTGCAGTTGAGTAGTTACATTAAAATCTTATCTGTAATATATTTTTAAGTTATGTCAAGGCTGCTTACAGTACATAGATAGGCATCCATTTTAGCATTAGTATAAAGTACAAAATACACATGTACACACTTCTTAAAATAAATTCTAAGCAGATTTTCAATATGGTATGCAATAGAACAAGACCATTTTTTCTTTCAATCCTACTTTGCACAAAACGGTGACCTCCTGTCAACTGTTATCCTTTTTCAAAAGGGCACTTAAAATGTTTTAAGAGATTTTAAGGGAAAAATTGTACGTTACATTGTACTGGAATTTTCTTTCAACTCATGACATCACTGAGATTTATTATTTTGATGTTGTAATTGTTTGTCAACATTCTGCTGCTTTTAATTTGCAACATTGTCTCAATTTATCTACAGTGGTAACTATTTTAATAATAGTAGTATCGCCTTTAATGATTCAACAACGTTCCTTTGGTTCACACCTGTTTAATTATGAGACTTTGGTTAATGATTCCAATATAAAGTTTTTTGCCCAAATCCCATCAGATCTCATTACAATTCCAACCATAAGTTCTCTTTCTACAGCTCCCAGGACACATTGACACAGGATTAGAAAGCTTCTCCCAAAGTGCTATTTGTTCTAGCTTTTGAGATATCGCTAATTTGTGAACTTGGCCTTAACACCTGATTAAGTGCTCTCAGGCGATACTTGTGGTAGAAATGGTGATTATTCATGCTTTATCAATGATTGACAAGATATTTAACTTGACTAATTAAAAAGCCAACAAATTTATTACATGGCCTCGCACTTCAAAGGTCTTTGAGGAGCATGTTCCAACTATGCATTTCACTGCACTGAAGAGAAGCACCAGTATGCCCATACACAGGGACTGAAGGACTGGAGCCCGATTTCAGACATGCTACAATGACGGAGATAAATAAAGCCATATCTTTTCACCACTCATAATTTCCTTGTTCTTTTTAGTATATATAAATAAAATAAATGCTTTTGTTGACTTATTTCCCACAGTTAAATTTAGATCCTGAGGAGAGAGAGAAGTCTGCATGAAATCAGAAGTTAAAACAGGAGTTATTTTTCAGCAAGTAAGTTCTTCCAGTGATATTTCTCTTCCCAAATGTTAGAAATGAAATATTTGGCTATGTACACATATCTGTAAATTATCGTTACAAATAATTCTCTCCTCTTCTGAAGTACATACAAAATGATACAGACCAATGTGAAACATTTAGTTTTCATTATGGGCACATATAACCACCATAAAAAATGAACACCACGTCCAAGTTTATTACTTAATTAGTATATCATCACTAAGGACTCCAGTATATGTATCTCAGAACATGGACAGTATATTTATAGGTTTTGCGATGGAGGGGGGATAAAAAAAGATTTCTTAAAGAATTAGCAAGCTTCTATCCCTCAGTGTTCTCACTCTCCAATTTCTTATCCTTGCCTACAACACCTACATTTTACAATATAAAAACCGTTACAGCTACTAATATAAATGGTAAGCATAACTGCTCAATCACTTTGCTTTTTGTTGCAACCTTTTCCTCTCCTCCGCCGTCTGTATCTTGTCAAATTAAGGCCTCTATTCTCCAGACAGATGTACTAGTGCAAACCCTTTAGATCCACATGGAATTCTGCTCTCTTCCATGGGATTCAAACTGTGAATAATAGTACACACCAGCGCATCGATTTGCAGGATCACAAATACTTCAGGGAAGGGGACTATGTCACCTTATAAATGCCATGCAAGACAATAGTGCTACATACATATTTTGCATATTTTAATTATCAGAACAGTTCATTTTTCATATTAAACATCAGTAATGATGTGACAATTGTCAACATACCACAATATGTGATCCAAAGTCACAGTTTTATTCAAACCAAATAAATAAGATACAAAAGAGAACTGAAAGTAAATGACCTAAAGGAGTTCTGACCTGAGTGAAGAAGTACACATGACTCTGGCATACAGCAGTAAGAAAAAAATACATAGTAGTTACCTTAAGGAAGAACCTCTTATCTGTCCTGGCAGGATTGTAGGATGCAAGGTATGCAGCTATTAGAAGGAATTTGGAGTAATAAGGAAGTTCTACGTGAGCATGTGCAGAAAGTCCTATAAAAACAAACACAGTTTATGAGTCACTGAGGGAGCATTCTAACTGTGAGAGGCTTAAAATTAGACCAGTAAGTTTTGTTCTGGTTCTCAAGGGCAAACATATTGCAGCATTCCTCTTCTCTGCCTGCTCCATTCCTGTAAGTCAGCAGAGATGGATATTTGCTACAATCCGGGTATCCCAAGAGTAAAGCAGGCAGTGCTGTGGAACAATGTGACATGCATAGGTGGCCCTTGAATCAAAACAAAACCAGCACTCAGTCTGCTGGTGGACTGCCCAAGGGCTCCCAGGCATTACGGTAATACAAAGATTAAATAAATACAGCAACAGATGACAATTTTCTTCAATATCCAGGGGAAACCTCATTGAATGTATGTATCATTGTGGGATAGGGTTTGTACGTAATTCCATGGAGGACAGGGACAACAGCCCTCCAGGGACAGTGGGTGATTATTAGGCAAATTTACTCAGGTTGTAACACTTTCAGAGAGCTACCACTACCTGGAGAAAGACTCACATATACTGGTTCAAACTGGATTCTCCAGGAACCAGCAGGCACAGAAAGGATTTTTGGATGAACAGCCTGAGTTTAAACTAACTTAGGGCCATCTTTCTGGTTCAGCAAGTGGACAGGATCTCTGGTCCATGGTTGCGGGGATCCTTAGGGAAGGACTTTGGCCTACTGAGGCCCCATAAGAGTGAGTTTTCTTGTTCTGTGCAAAAGGAATAATGAACTAGTAACCAGAGGAAAACACCTGTGTGGGGTTTGAAGAACTGTTCACCAGCCAGAGCCCTTGTTGGAGTCAGGGGATGACCTCCAGTAAGCTTATTAGCATGTGTGTAGGGTTGTTGGTTTTGTTTTGTTTTCAGTGTTTTCTCTGTAATGCTTTCACCTTAAGAATAAATGTGCTTACTTAGAAAGAGCTGTGTGGTAGGTTAACGGTGGGCAATTACATTCTTTACTGTTTCTGAACATAACAGCAAAGCAAAGCAGACCGACTTAGGGAACCTGAATTTGTTGGGGAGGTCACAGTATAGGCAAGGAGCTGTGCAGTCTAGAAGTACCCTGGTCACGAGGAAGAGAGTTACAGGTCTCCACCCAAGATAGGTGATGGCTTAAGAGCCACAAGTGTAGAGAGGATGCCCTTGCTGAACCATGGAGGGGGAATACAGGTCCAGTTACCCTGAACTGTGACAAATACCACTACTAAGAAGACGACAGTTTCATGAATGATCTGGGAACCACTGAGCTATGATCTTTGTTTGCTGAATTGGTTTAAAAAACAAAAACAAAAAAAACAACCATCCTCACATTTTAAAACAGTTTCAGGCCAATCTGGTTTAAGACAGTTTGGTTCGCTAGTGTGGATATGGCAAAACTGTCAATCTGTCCTCTTCCCAATTGAGATTTGACCTTCAGGCTGCTATAAACTTCTCAAGGAACCAGCTCCACAATGAGCCAGACTCCAACTAGGGAGCCAAATTGCATCTTTGAACACACATCAACACCCAGGTGGTGGCTGGTTTCTCAGCTGCAGCTCAGCATCTGGACATGTTGGTTTTTTAATTTTATTTAGGATTGGAAACCTTTTACCCAGTGATGAGCTGCCAAAATCTTAACAACCGGTTCCCTATAAAAAGTTCTGATTTAAGGGATGTGCCCCAGTATGTATTTTTTGTACCAACAGGGTTACCATACGTCCGTATTTTCCCGGACGGCGATTTAAGAACCAAAAAGCCTGACCTGTCTGGGAAAATACGGATGTATGTTAACCCTGCCTAAAGTTTTTTTTAAAAAGATGGGCCTGAACTAGAAATGAGCTCCATTTCACATGTGTGGGTCCCAGCCACTCCCTGGGGGTGTGCTAGGGTGACCAGAAGTCCCGATTTTATAGGGACAGTCCCGCTTTTGGGGTCTTTTTCTTACATAGGCTCCTATAACCCCCCACCCCCTGTCCTGATTTTTCACACTTGCTGTCTGGTCACCCTAGGGTGTGCACATGTGTGGGTCCCAGCTGCTCCATGCCCCCCTCATTGAAGCAGGTGTGCAGGGTTACTGCCCTGGGAACTGCAGGGCACCAGTGGACGTGGTGCCAGCTGCAGACGGGCGTGCGGCAGGGCTAGCTGGAAGCAAGGGGTGCGGAGCTGCTGGAGACAGAGGGTATGGGGGCAGCTGGAGACGGGGGCTAGCTGCGGGCAGGGGATGGCTGGAGGCAGGGGATGGCTGGAGGCAGGGTGGTGGGTACTCACGGGGAGAACAGTAGGACGCAGCCCAGGCCCAGCAGAGCAGTGGGGGACCCACCAGGCAGCAGCGGGAGCCCCAGGGCCAGGGGAGCAGCAGCAGCAACAGAGATCATGCCCAGGGCCAAGCGGCAGCCCACATGGCTCCCGCAGCGCAGCGCCCCCGGTGGCCAGAGGAGGAATTACATCACTTCCTGGTCGGAGCCCATCAAAGCCTCAGCGCCCCCTTCAGGGAAGCGGGTTAACAACTGGTTCTAAAACTGCTTCAAAATTTAACAACCGGTTCAAGCAAACCAGTGCGAACAGGCTCCAGCTCACCACTTTTACCTTCAAAACTCTCAGCCTGATTTGTTTGGTCTAGTCTACTATACATGCATTTTGCAAGTTTACATATATTTTACATACACAAGAGTATTCTACAATGTGTATTTCCTCCTTCCTTTCACCCTTCCATTTCTACACTTTTCTCTTTCCCCACTTTCTTCCAGTCACTGTAATTTTTTTTTTATTTAAAATGTGTATGACCAGCAGGCTCAAGCTGCCTTATCTTTGCTGTTGGCTGGAGAGGTCAGTTTCCTAGAGGGTCTATTTTGTGACTGCTCAGTTTTGTCTTTTCATCTAGACTGTTCCCTGCCCTTTGTAGCTTGTCTTCTGTGCTTTGTACAATACCAAGCATGTACCTGTCAATGCTCAAACAAACAAAAAATGTAGGCTTTAATCTTTGTACATTTAATGAATAAGGATCAAAACAGTGGAACGTGTTTAAAAGTTAGTGTAAATTTCAGAGTCCACAATATAATTGTGGAGCACTTGAGAAGGGTTATTTACAAGTTTCCTTTCAGGTAGTCATGAAAGCACGGCATATTTTTTTCAGCTTCTACCAACAGTCAAGTAGCTGTTTTATTCGTACAGTATTTTAATTAAAAATGCAATCCCAGATAAAAGAAACTCCTGCTTGTAGACAATTGAGTTGAATACTGAAATGCCTGTGTTCCTACTCCATCTTTCTGACCTGCTGGGATTAGAATTATGCATTGAATAACTGTTTGCTTAATTACATCCACAGTACAGTTTATTACATATTAATTTCTCTTTAGAACAATGCTAATGTCAGAAATGTTATTTACCAACAAAACCATTTTCCCTAGCGTATAAGCTTAAAGTATCCTGAAAGTAACTGAGTAAAATCTCTCTTTTTTGAGCTAATCAGGAATAAGTGTATTGTTGTCATTTGGTGAAAATAGGAGGTTTACGAATAACCCTATGATTCTATTTCCCTTGACCAGACACACTGCAAAAGTAACATATTTGTTTAAAAAGTAAAGGTCTGAATCTCACTCTGATCACTACCACATTATCTATAAGCTATCACCACAGCTTTGACAGAACATACTGCATCTGACTGCCTCTCAAAAGAAGAGAGTCTTACCATTGTGGAGACTAGGGGGAAAAGATGGTCCAAAAATTCAGAACCGGGCAAGAACCTATTGCTGAATGGCAGAGGGGCTTTTCAAAGAAGACATTTTAGTAATCTCCTAGCCTCTGTTTACCAGAAGCTGGGAATGGATCACTTGATGATTACCTGTTCTGTCAATTCCCTCTGAAGCACCTGGCATTGTCCGCTGTCAGAAGACAGGATACTGAGCTAGACAGACCTTTGGTCTGACCCAGTATGGCTGTTATTATGTTAATCTTCCCTGAAGAGTAATTGAAAACTAAAGAGCAGATTAAGACTTAACTCTCAGTTCTGCCTAATGGGTGGTGGTGGCACAGAGCTGCACTACTCCAGAGGCAGCAGTAGAAAGGAATTGTGACAGTCATGATTCACATACCTCTCAGCCACAACTTGTCCAGGGTTCTTGTTTTGCTCAGGTATATGCTGTGTCAGCCCATTACCAGAGGCAGCATATTTCTCCTTCAGATCCAGCCATCTCTGCTGGTCATGCACAGGGTTGTGGATCAGCCTACTCCCCACCCTTTTGCACGTAGGAGTAGTGGTTTATTTCCCCCCCCCATGCCCAGGCTCAACATCCAGGCATATTCTGCACCAAGGAAGGAGGTACAATCTAGGCCTCAGTAAAGTAATTCCATTCAACTGTTTGTTAGGGATCAGCAATCACATCACTAATAACTGCTACCATAACTACTACTATTTAGAATTATTGCATCTATTTGATACCTTTCAAGTGCCCAGGTTCTCCATCATCCTGCTGTATTCTCTCCCACTGTGAGCTAAAAAAAGAAAGACAGGTGTTTAAAGAAAGAATACCTGTTATATCCAAATGAAAAGGAGACGTTACTTACCTTGTAGAGTAACTGGAGTTCAAGATGGTTTTGTCCCTATGGGTCCTCCACATCAGAATCCATGGATTCGTGAGCCAAGATTTTGTGAGCAGGTCCAGACCTGTGCCCTATGCATCCTTGTGCTCAGGTACAAGGTATACAGGGTGGGACAGGCTTGCCACCACTACGGTTCCTTCTCAAATATAGTCTATACAGAATGGGAAAGGAAGAGTCTATACAGGAAGAATGGGCTCCACCTAACCCAAAATGGAACCAGATTGCTGACATGTAAAATTAAGAAGGTTGTAGAAGAGTTTTTAAAGTAAGGGCTGAGGGAAAGCTGACAGGTGCAAAGGAGCACATAGTTCAGATGGAGACATCCCTTAGGGAAGTATCTATTAACGGCAATTCTCTATATCCTAAGTAAACAAGATAGGAATGAAGTTGATAGAGTACAGGTAGGAACTGAAGAGAAAGTCAAATGAAAAAAGAGTTCCATTCAATTACATCACATAATGGCAGACAGCTAAAAAGTGAAAAATTTTTATAAGTGTTTGTATATAAATGCTAGAAGTCTATATACTAAAGATGGGTGAATTCGAGTGCCTGGTATTAAATGGTACACCCACACCTTGAATACTGAGTGCAGTACTGGTTGCCAACCTCAAAAAGGTACAGAGAAGGGCAACAAAAATGATTAGGGGGATGGAACAGCTTCCACAAGAGTAGAGAGTAAAAAGACTAGGACTTTTCAGCTTGGAAAAGAGATGCCTAAGAGGGGATATGATAGAGGCCTATAAAATCATGAATGGTGTGGAGAAAGTGAATAAGGAAGTATATTTACCCCTTCACATAACACAAGAACTATGGGTCACACAATGAAATTAACAGGCAGCAGGTTTGTTTTAAACAAAAGGAAATACTACTTCACAAGCTACACAGTCAACCCATGGAACTTGTTGCCAGGGGATGTTGTGAAGGCCAAAAGTATAACCGGGTTCAAAAAAGAATTAGATAAGTTCCTGGATGATAGATCCATTAGTGGCTATTAGCCAAGATGGTCACAAATGCAATCTATGCTCTGGGTTTCCTAAGCCTCTAACCACTGGAAGCTGGGACAAAAAATGGATGGATCACTCAATAATTGCCCTGTTCTGTTCATTCCCTCTGAAGCATCTGGCATTGGCCACTGTTGGAAGACAGGATACTGCGCTAGATGAACCACTGGTCTGATACAATATGGTCTTTCTTGTGCTCTTAATGACTCTGAAGCTGAGGGGAAGGAGGGTGGGTAGTACAGTACCCACATATTGAAGAACTCCTGTTACTGTACAAGGTAAGTAACCTCTCCTTCGAGTTATTGCTGTTATGGGTGCTCCATGTTGGCAGTTTCCCAAGGAGCACCCCAACTGAGGGGGAAGGGTGCTGAGGAGGTGGATTCAGTATGAGCCAAAGAAGAGGCTCATCAAAGGCCACTTCTAGAGCTGATGCACAGACAAGAGCAGTGTTGAGAAAACGTACTGAAGACCAGGTGACAGCTTTGCAAATGTCCAAGATGAGTATGTTCTTCAGTAAGGCCGTAAAGGGAGACTGAGCCCTGGTGGAATGGGCCATCTCCCTAGGTAGAGAACGCACCTTCGAGGCTTTGTTACTGGTGAGGATGTATCCTGAAACCAATTTTCAGTCTTTGCCCTTTCATTTTTTCTGCCATAGAAACAGGAAAAAACAGACTAGGAAAAGCCAAGAAGCTTAATCCTGCCAAGGTACATTTTTGTGTATCCAGCACATGGAGACTCCCTTGTTCTTGCAAAGATCGAGGCTTGGGGTAATACACTGGTAGATGAATGTCCTGATTAACATGGAATTCTGATTAAACTTGAGGCAGAAGACAGCAATGGGGACATAACGTCACCTTATTGCCACAGAACAGAGTGTAAGGTGGGTCAGCCTTACGTGCTCCGAGTTCCCCTACTTTTCTGACTGAGGTGATGGCTATGAGGAATGAGGTCTTAAAAGGACAAATGAAGGACACAACTCCCTGTAGGTTCAAATGGGGGGGGGGTTCTCACAGCGTTGAGGACTAAGCTGAAGTCCATGTGTAGCAGGTTCTTCATAAATAGATAAAAGTTAAACAGAGCCTTAATGAATCCTGCAATGGTTGAGTGAGCAAAGACCTCATGAGGAAGTGAAAAGTTGTAATAGCAGCAGGGTGAACCTGAACTGAGCTCAGTGATAAGCCTGTGGTTTTTAATTTAGCAGGTAATTGAGAACGTGCATAAGGAGAGACTCAAGAGGAGGTATAGATAGATGGATACACCAGGCTTGAAAACATCTTCATTTCTGTAGGTAGGCTTTCTACTATTGAGCCATATAATTTGGTCTTCTGAAGACCAGTCCTGTTGTACGCTAGAGAGCCACCTAGGAGCCAGGCACGGAGGTGGGTCACATAGTGCCTGACTGCTGGGTGAGGAGATCTGCTGCCAGAGGAAGGTGAAGTAGTGGTCACAGGGACAGGCAAATCAGATACCTGCCTTGGCCATGATGGCACTATGATGATGTCCACCACTTTCTCTTGTGTGGACTTATTTAGGACCTTCAGAAACAACGGTGCTGAGGGATAAACAGAGTGACATGTGAGGCCAAGAGCGTAAGGAGGGCATCTCCCAACAAGTTGTGACTGTGCCTTCCCCTTGAATAGAAGTGTCAGTACTCTGCATGGATGGTGTTACAAAGATTTCTCTCTGGGGAACCCCAGATGTCTGAAATATTGTGTCACTCAGATCCCACTTCCTGCTCAGGAAGTCTGCTACAGTGTTCTTCAGTCCCAGTAGATAAATCACTACGGGCAGGTCTTCACTACCTGCCGGATTGGCGGGTAGTGATCTATCTATCGGGGATCCATTTATCACATCTCATCTAGACACGATATATCGATCCCCAAATGCGCTCCCCGTCGACTCTTGAACTCCAGCTCGTGAGAGGCAGAAGCAGAGTCGATGGGGGAGCGGCAGCGGTCGACTCGCCGCTGTCCTCATGGACAGGTAAGTTGAACTAAGATACGCCAACTTCAGGTACGCTATTCACGTAGCTGAAGTTGGCGTATCTTATGTCTACCCCCCCCCCTTAGTGTAGACCAGTGCTAAGATCTCTATGTGGTGAGATATGTACCCCAATTCCATAGTTTTATTAATTCTGTGCATAAGGACTGGGATATTGCTCTTCCCTGGTGATTTATAAAATACATTGCAGCCCTGCTGCCCAGCATTACTCTGAGTGGCCCTGATGTTGGGTAGGAAGTGATGGCAAGTCTAATGGACTGCACTGAATTCTAAAATGTTGATCTGGAGAAAGGTCTCCATTAAGCTGTGAAATCCTGGAAATGGGTGCCCCAGCCTACTAGGGAGGCATCTATAGAGATGATCTTTGTGGGGGAGGACATGAAAATGGAACTCCCAAAGCAGACATTTTGAGGCTCCTTCCACCTATTGAGGAAGCTGATGACCCTCTGAGGTATGACACCCACTTGGACAATTTGTGCACAGCCAAACCTGAAGAAAATAGGAGTGTAGTCTTGCAAGGGATGTTATGGATATACAGGCTGCTATGTGGCCAGGAGCTGAAGGCAAATCCTCACTGTGGCTTGCAGGTCTGACGTATTGTGGAAATGAGGCTGGACCTTATAGCAAGTCTCTCCATGGGCAAATATGCTTTGGCTGTAATGGTGTCTAGAATGGCAGAGGCCCAAGGAGTGGGAAAGAGATAGGGTCCTGTTGGTTACTGATTGCACCTCGAGAAAGGAGTGCGTCGTTCAAATAGGGAGAGAAGACTATTATTCCCATCTGACAAAGATGAGTTGCTACCGCCAAGGGCACTTTTAAAGACCCTTGGGGCAGCTGAAAAACCCAAGGGTAGGATGCAGTATTGGTAGTAGTCTTTGCCAAGAATGAACCATAGGAAACGTGAGATAAGGGTCACAGCTATATGAAAGTGTTTATCTTGAAGAGAGAGAGAGAGAGGGAGAGACACACACACAGACCAACCCCCGCAGATCCAAAGAGAGAATGATCACTTCCAGGGTTACTAATCTGAATCAAAGAGAGGATGAAGCTGTTCAAAGTCCTGAGATCTAAAATCAGTCTCCATCCTCCTCTTGTCTTGGGAACCCAAGTAGTACAGTACCTGGAGTAGAACCCTCCCCTGATAAAATCCAATGGAACTGATTCAACCACCACAAAGACTGCAAGAGATTGTACTTCCTGTCTTTTAAGGAAGTACATGACAATGGTCCCTGAAAAGGATTAGCTTCCAGTTTTTAAAGGATGCCTTTTTGCCTCCAACTACTTCTTTTACTTTGCTGTTTAGCCATGGTGGCAATTTTTGGTCCTCTTACTGTGTTTTTTAATTTGGGGTATACATTTAATTTGAGCCTCTATTATGATGTTTTTTAAAAGTTTCCATGCAGCCTGCAGGCATTTCACTCTTGTGACTGTACCTATTAATTTTCATTTAACTACCTTACTCATTTGTGTGTCGTTCTCCCTGGCTTTCTGAGCCTGTGTTGCCTGCATTCTGAGCAGCATATGTGAGTTTGTATTTTGTAAACACCATTCAAACGAACAGGGTACAGTAAATACATTGATGCAACATTAGTCATCTATAATTCATTTAGTACAAAAATCTGGGTTACTGTGGTGAAAACAGTATATCAAGCCTTGGTTCAGGAACCAGTCGCCCCTTCATACCATTGATTCCTATGGTAAAAGTGGTTTTGATTTACAACGTTTTGACTTACGACACAATTCATTCCTCAGAACTACGTTGTAAGTCCGAGGACTCCCTGTAATAGGCATTAAAGAAACTTGGTGGAGTGATGATAATCTATGGGACACGGTAATACCAGGGTACAACATACATAGGAATGACACATTAGGTGGTGCGGTAGTGACACTGTATATGAAAGAAAGCACAGAGTCAAATAGAGAAACTCTTAAATGAATCAAACTGTACCTTAGAATATCTATGGATAGAAATTCCATGCTTGAATGATAAGAGTATAGCAGTAGGAAAATACTATCCATCACCTGACCAGGATGGTGATAGTGATTGTGAAATGCTCCAGGAGATTAGAGTGGCTTTAAAAGTAGAAAACTCAATCATAATGGGGGATATCTGCAGTCCCTCAGTATGGGATTCTGAGATGAAGTTTTTAGACACCATTAATGACTGCTTCTTGGAGCAGCTATTTCTAGAACCCCCAAGGGGAGAGAACTCTTTAGCAGTTTTTGAAGATCAGTGTTTCTTGCTATATTTGAGCACCTATGCTGCTTCTTTCTGGAAGCTGCTAACAACAGATCTGAGAAGTTCTCTCAGCTTGAGAGTACACAAGTGCTCTACCCAATGGGGATAGATCCAAAGATTCTGATGCTTTTTAAAATGAGCCCCTCAGATACTCCTCACAGGTCACTTTATAGTTTTAGGAAAGTCTTTGGATGTCAGATCCAACAGATTAACAAGAGGGAGTGGAGGGGGGCTTTATTTGGGTCCTTTAACCACCAAAGCCTTTTCTATGAGCAAGGTTATGGTTTTTCACTCAGATTGAATCACAGAGAGACATAATTTTTGAACAAATACCCTTCATTCAAACACAGATTATGCTTGTCTCTAAAATACATCTTGAATTTTTTTTTTCCTGTGCCATTATGGAGACTGTCTCTAGCCCTTCTCACAAATAAAAGTTGATCAAGAATTTAATTCACCACCACCCAGCCACCTATAATTTCTTCATGCTATTTAAAAATAATCCCATGAAGAGAAGAAGGTTTTTGTTCCATGAAAGCAGGAGGTGAAGGAAAGAAAGGAACTGCAGGTCAATGATGGTGCAGTGGATTTATAAACCTTGCCCCAATAAGATGATTTTGAGGAGCCTGTGTGTTTGCCTCTCATATTTATAGTACCTTAAAGAATCCTGAGGTTTGCATAGTAAGACATGAATGATACAGTGTGGAACTTCAGAGGCAATTTTGAAAAGAGCATTTTCAGTTATCCTTATATATTCTGGTGATGGATTTCCATGTTTCAGAAGTCATGAATTATTGAAAAGCACCCTATATTTTTTCCTCTATTTCCTACCAAATAGAATTATGAGATTTATTGGATTATAAGCATGTTTAAAAGGGGTTTTCATTTTTGTAAATTAAAATGTAAGTCAATAATAAAACCCCAAAAGCCCAACACTGAAAAAACCCACCAATTAAGTATACCAAAAATTAAAGACTATAGAACAAGACAGGACACTTGAGTCATACCTAACACATCCATTGATAGCAGAAACACCTTACCCATGTCTGACCTTTGTTATAACAGGGAGGAGCTGCTGACAGAACATTATCCATAAGGGGCTCTCTCCTTTAGACGGCCCTTTCCAGACAGTCTGAATTATTGTTGACTTTCCAGGCATGATGCAACGTCCACCTGTTTGCCTGCGCATTGGTGAAAGACTAAGCAAATCTCCATTGGTGGAGGACTGCTTCAGTGTCCAGTTAATAAACAGTTTTATATGCTTTTTGCCTTAAAATCTGCTTCACACATTAACTTAATAGCTTCGTAACATCTCATAAAACACACTGAACACTTGTTTGTATTTTCCTATCTGAGACACACAAGTATAGTTGTAGTATTTTATGGCTACAAAGAAACCGTTAAAAGAAAAAGGGAGAGTCAGTCTGACAGGAAGAAATACTACTCACCACATATATGACATTTTAAGTAAGGCTTTTTTGAGAGGTGGATGGCTAAAAATATAAAGGGACGATTACCTGGATATTTCCCGGAGATAAACAGTCTGCATTGCTTTCTTCAAATGAGATTCAATATTTTTCCAGAGTCGACGTGTGTCACGTTCGTTTGCTGCGTAGAGTAAAAATTAGCTTTCTTAGTGTAAACTCTGAAAAAGTGTTTAACCTATAGAAGAGTGAAATTCAATTGAATAGCTGAATAGAGTCAGACACACCAAATAATCAATGGGACATCCTGACATTCTGAAATATTTGCATTACCATGATACAGAATTATCTTCTACTGATGTGAACAGCACGCTGCAAGGCAACAAAGTTGTACTGTGGTTACTTTGTGATACTCCATGACTATTTAACAGAATAGCTGCTTTCACTCTCCACTCCTAGGCCTGAGAGGTAAGGTAGTTTCTCCCTTGTCTTAGCTGTTGAGGTATGGGGAGAAGTTGTATAGGAGGGAGCAGCTGTTAATGGAGGGAAAAGGCTTGGCAGCAGTTTCCTTCTGATCTCCATAAAACACTGACTAAAAGCTTGTTAATCTGCTTCTGCTACACTCCAAATGTTGACTTGTGTGCATTAGAACATAGGAACGGCTACAGTGGGTCAGACCAAAGGTCCATCTAGCCCAGTACCCTGTCTTCCGACAGTGGCCAATGCCAGGTGCCCCAGAGGGAACAAACAGAGCAGGTAATGACCCAGTGATCCTCCGTCACCCATTCCCAGCTTCTGGCAAACAGAGGTGAGGGACACCATCCCTGCCCATCCTGGCTAATAGCCATTAATGGACCTATCCTACATGAATTTAATCTAGTTCTTTTTTGAACCCTGTTATTGTGTTGACCTTCACAACATACTCTGGCAAAGAGTTCGACAGGTTGACTGTGTGTTGTGTGAAGAAATACTTCCTTTTGTTTGTTTTAAACCTGCTGTTTATTCATTTCATTTGGTGACCCCTAGTTCTTGTGTTAGGAGAAGGAGTAAATAGCACTTCCTTATTTACTTTCTCCCCACCAGTCATGATTTTATAGCCATCAATCATATCCCCCCTTAGTCATCTCTTTTTCCAAGCTGAAAGTACTAGTCTTCTTAATCTATCCTCATACGGAAGCCGTATTAGACAGTAAAAGCAACACTGCTGTGATTGTCAGAGTGAATGGAAAGTGAATAAAAGCGGGGCACTCCAGAAGAGGCACAGGTGGAGCCGCACCATTTTAAATGTGGACTGCTACTCAGGCCTGGTCTACATCTTAAACTTAGGCTGACCTAGCTACGTCGCTCACTGGTGTAAAAGATTTATACCCCAAGAGACATAGTTAAGCTAAGCCCCGACATAAACACTGCTAGGCTGATTAAAGAATTCTTCTGTCAACCTAGCTACCACCTCTCGAGGAGGTGGATTTACTACAAAGATGGGAAAAACCTCTTCCACTGCTGTAGCAAGTGTCTACATTACAGCAGTGTTGTTGCAGCACTCGTAGAAACAGCCTAATAGAAAAGCAAAGCACTTACCTTCTCCTCTGACCACTGGTTCACAATATTTAGTAAAATTTAGTGCAGCCTGCAGAAAAAAGACAGAAAAATTGACAACGTATTAGACATGGTCAGTCTATACTGTACAGCATATAACACACGTCTGGGTGATGTAAAGTGAATAAAAATATGTTTCAACTACTAATTATGGCATTTTGCTTCCAAGGTTTTCACTCTGACTTAGGTCGTAATGTTTCACAGTGTAATATTCAGGAATACAAACAACAAGATGACATTCACAACAAAAGCAAAGACAAACCTCCACAAAATATTTCACTATAATATACTGATATATAAAAAAAATTCAATACAGCAATTGTATCTTTTTAAACCAGTAGTGCAGAAAGTAACTTACTGAAGACAAGTTCATTTCCTTCACCCTTTTTTGGTTAAAACTCATTGTTTCATCAGTGCTGCAAATATGTTCAATAATAGATTATATCTATTTACATGCAAATGCAGAGAAGAAATTATAAAAAAAAATCACAATTTTCAGAAACCCTTCTTCCACTTTCAAATAAGCAAAAATAGTTTAAGATAAGAATTATTTGTTCTACTCTATCTAGGCATCTAATGTATACTTTTTCCAATTTGTATAAGCCTATGAAGTTGGATATTTACTAATTGTGATGGGGTGGACTCCCCACACTACCCTCACAAGAGCTGAATTATGCCAGGTAGGCCCAATCAGCTATTTAGGCTACAAGCAGGGGCAATTTAGGCTGGAGGCAGCTAATTAAGGACAGGCTCACCTGTGGAGGAACAGGCAGGGCCTGCATAAAGCCTAGTAACTGACTGCAGAAAGGGGGGCTGCTGCTGGGAAAGGCTGCAGTCACTCCCCAAGAGGGGGCAAGAGCAAGCCAGGCAGATAAGATATGCAGGAAGAAGCCCAGAAAACCAGCAGCAAGAGGTAGGTCTGTGGCGGATTGTTAAAGGGTCCTGGGGCTGGAACCCAGTGTAGAATGTGGGCCTGGCTTCCCCTACCAGCCACCGCGGGAGTGGCTACGGCATTGGACACACCAGTCAGACAGCAGGTCTGGAAAGACTGTGAATACCCTAGAAGGGGAGGACTTTAGTGGCCTGGCCAGAGGACCAAGCCACACAGAGGAAGCTACAGACCCAGGAGTGAGCAGGGCAGCAGAGTGAGACAAGACGGGTGAAAACCATGCTGGAGGGAGAGCGCAAGCTGGCACAGCTAAATCCCCAGGATGGCCAGCGGGAGATGCCATTTGTGGTGAGTGGACCCTGTGACCCTTATACTTGGAATTTTGTAATACAGCAACCTTTCCAACTAATAACTTTGCCCCCATATCTTTAGAAAGCTCTATGCAGCATTTATAGTAATACCTAGACATCAACATATTGATTTCAATGCAGCTTCAAAACCATATTTACAGTGATACATAAAATCATAAAACACATATGCAGCAGTAAAAAGCAGTGTGCATTAATCTAAATTCTATTATATGTAGAGTAGTTCAGAAACTTATGAAATATTTATACTAGTCTATATTAACATATGCCATGCAAAAGACCTTTCACATACAAAAGCCTGTAGGACTGGGTCCTGAAACCCTTACAGACAGTATCTTTATTCATGTGAGTAGACCAGTTGATGACTTTGGGACAACTCCAATTAGCAAAATTACTCAAGAACAGTGGTACCCAAACTTTTCCTATCAAGCACCCTGCTTACCAGTAATGGAATCTGTCTGCGCCCCGCCCCCATTACTGCACAGCCAAGGCTTCCTCAGTTCAGGAGCTTGGGCTGAAGGTGGAGCAGGGGGAGGAACTGGGGCTAGAGGCAGAACTGGCCTGGGAGCGGAGAGGGAATGAGGGCTGAGCTGCGGCAGGGGGTCAAGTGGGGCCGGGTGGTACTCCCTCCCCACCACCCATGGGGGCTGGCCTGGGCCTTGCTGCACCGACCAGAATGTTTCTCTGTGCCCTTCTGGGGGGGGGTGCTCCCCACAGTTTGGGGACCATTGCTCAAGAACATACATGCCTGCAGGGCTGAGCCCCTCAAATCTGAATGACTCAACTACTGTAGCAAATCCTTTCAAGCATACTGTATCTATAGGTAAAAAGTGTAAAAGTAGATGACGTTTAGCTCTGGTGCTGTTGTTGCTGAGGATCCTGGCACAGCAGGAAGTCTGCACCATTGGCATGGGGCTGTTCGAGTGCCGCAAAAGAAGAATGTTTCCTGGCCTCCCCATTTCCTCTCTCCTCCCTATCAACTATCCTTTTTTTCCCCCCTATGAATAAAAGGAGGTTGAGTCAGGCCATACACTCCTTCTCTCAAGCCCTCAAGAGTGTGTGTGTCCCCCCCGGAATTTAAGCTTACAGAGAGCCATACAGGCTCAGGATCTAATTTAAAATTAACAAAAATCTAGGTGGATTTTTAAGGGAAAAAAAGCCACTACAAAAAGAAGCCTGTATCCTGCAGTTTATTGTACTGACAGGTAGAGAATTAGGAATAAACTCCAGTAACAGCACAAGAACACAGGTCTAGCCTGTCTCCAAGAAGAAGAAACAACACACGGTACAGACTGCTGGACATACGAAGTTCTAGGGAAACTAGCTGGGTAGTATGTGTGGCAGCTCTACTCCTATTTTCACAGGACTCTTTTCTTCTTAGCCAGCCTTATTTGTGCACTATTGGGCACTTTTACTTCTAAGTTATGGTAATTTTTGCAGAATAATTAAACCACAACTGTACCACAAGTGTTTGCATTGCTTAAGATTTATTTTCAGTTTGCTGCTCCTTTTAATAGGATTAAAGAGAACATACATTAAAGATACCCTGGATTATTTTTCTCTGGTGCATTCAAAATTGCAGCATATGGTTATCAAAACTAACAGAAAAATTACATTTTCAACAAGATCCTGTGTATGCCAGTGTTGTATCTTGACTATTTTGTTGTTCCCACTGATTCCCTACTCCCACTCACCAAGAGATACATACCTAGCTTGATGTCCAGGAAAATAACTTATTAGGTGCTATCCATATAATGTCTCGGTGTCAATAAAAATGCACCAGTTAACATACTAAGTAATGTTCAAATACAGTGTGCATGTGTGTTTAAGTGAGAATATAAAACTTAATATATCAGAAAGTTAAAACAGTAAACACATTAAGTGGCCTCATACTCTAATATTACAGCGAAAAGCCACTCTCTGAACAGCTCATTTAACAGTCTTGTGAACAGGATAGTAGGTTGTGGGTTTTGGTTTTTTTTGTTTTTTAAAGTAAACATACATATAATCATAAATTACGTGTGTAACATTGATGAGAACTGAAAAGAGCATAATGACAAATCCTTTATGCTAATTTTTATTCTCTATGTATTCTTAAGAAAAAGACTGCTTCTAACTTAACTTCACACTCTAGCATGAATCTTCAATTTTATCAGTGAAACACAGTAAACAATAGTTTACCAAGACAGCTATAGATACACAGATACAGGGGAAAAAAGCTGGGTCTGTGATCTTGATCCTTTTATCTACTATTGTCTATACTTGTTTAACCATGCAGTGATCTCAAAACTCAAATGAGCTAAAGATCAAGGGACTTGTATACAACAAAGATACATAATCTCTTATTTCTTTATTAATTCAAGTTATGCAATCATAACCACTGAAATTGTGTAAAGACAATCATGCTCCTTGGCAGTAACTAAGAAGTAGCTCATTACTGAACAAGTACCCACTGATTTGATGTTTCATAGGTTAGATTTAAGGCAAAATGTAGAGATTCAAAAATTAAATGATTAAGTGCATTTTGAAATAAACCCCTCATTTTATACTTTGTCTGAATAGGGCAGATCACGGACTTGAACCTGTGTCTCCCACATCCTAGGTGAGTGCCTACACCTTCCCTCTCTAAATTTGAAAGGTCTTGGCTTTGTCCTGATACAGAACTGCAAACATTTTTGTTTCAGAGTAACAGCCGTGTTAGTCTGTATTCGCAAAAAGAAAAGGAGTACTTGTGGCACCTTAGGGACTAACCAATTTATTTGAGCATGAGCTTTCGTGAGCTACATCCGATGAAGTGAGCTGTAGCTCACGAAAGCTCATGCTCAAATAAATTGGTTAGTCTCTAAGGTGCCACAAGTACTCCTTTTCTTTTTGCGAAACATTTTTGTGAAATCTTCAATTTTTGTGGGATAGGAAAAACGTTTCCCACCCAGCTCTACTTTAGTCAGCCAAGATCTCAGCTCTGCCTAGCTTAGCTATTAGCCAATTCAGTTTTATGCAGAATAAAGATGGCCTCCCTGCCTTTACTCAGAGCTTTTACAGTGAAGCTGGTCTGGTAGCAAAGAGGGGAAGGAAGAAGGCAATATGGGGGGTGAGGGGGGAACCACTCTCTTCCCCTTCCCACAACCCCAGTCAGAATTTAGGGTTGGGGAGGGAAAAAAAGGGGGGGAGGGGGAAGTTAACTGAAAGATGTGCATGGAATTACCAAACGTAAGCTATGGCTGACTACTGACCTCTTGCTACTTTTACCAATTCAGAATTTAAGCTTTATTGTCAAGCATTAAGGATACAGCATACATCATCTATAAAAATCTGAAAGGTGAATAGAAGTGTCAAAATTCCATACCCCCATGCTCCTTTGCTTTGGTTACTTCAGTGTTCCCAAGATAGACAGACAATTGAATGAAGCACAAATTTCCTAAAAACCCAAGTCTGCCAGGCAGATCATGATCTGATCTCACTCCTTGAACAATTAACTCCGATTTGATAGCAATACAGACAGAATTAAAGCTTTCCATATTTTAACATGTATTCATTATTCCATTAACTAGCTTAGAACACTATACCGTAAGCCATCGTTTACTTTAGCTTTTGTGAAATTCAGTGGTTTTCCCATAGTCTGTTCAAAATAAATGTGCATGCACATATATGTAAACTTATCTGAATATGAACGAATTCAATCAAATAATTAGTTTTGCTGAAGTCAAGAATTTTAACTTTTATTACACAAGTCACTGTCAGATAAAATAAAACATTTCTTTACCTGTTTGCTTTTGACTTTCTCAGTTTGGACAATGGTAATAGAATCAGTTTCATTTTTAAATTATAGTAAATTTCACTTTCAGATCCTCTGTGCACCGCTGCAATGTTTGGGTTATCTGTTTCTATTAGAATTTTTAATAGGAGTATAGAAACATTTACAGAACTGAGGACCAATAGAAAAGCTTTTGGATCAAATTCAGAAACCATGTTTCTACAAAACTATGCACCAGATGTAGTCTGTAGTAGGTGTGTTTAACTGCCTGCTGTGTACTGCTTTTCTGAAGTGAAAATTTACATTTTCATATCTATACAATATAGCAAAACGTAAGAAGTTTTGCATTTAATTTCCAGTGGAAACAAAGGCAGTTTTCTTCCCTGTAAACTGCCTTTATGAAGTTGTGCTGCTTTCTCTCATCCACTGTTTTAATCAATGTTCATTTAAAAACAAACAGCCTCTAACAATTGTAGTTTAACTGTATCAGGCAAACTATCTGCCTAATATGCTTCCAAACTATGCAGTGTATCTAGAAGTAAGAGGATATGACTGGAAGTCAGGACTCGTGGGGTTGTCTGCCTGCTCTCCTAATAACTCACATTGCCTGAGCAAGTCATTTGGGCCCAATTTTTCAAAGTGCCTACTAATTTGGGATGCCTTCATACATAGCTGCTTGACTTGAATGTTATACTCAGACACATCAAGAACTCATGACTCCAACTGATCTCACCTGAATAATCAGTTACATATTCAAAACTTGAGGTACGCATAATTAGTGGACTCTTAAAAACTTTTGGCTTTTACTTACTATACTAGCTACAGTACTTAACATGGATGTTATGAGATTTAAAGTTTTAAGGCTCTGGTGCATCAGTTTATTGCAAGTGCAAGCACGAAGTCTGCAAATTCCCTCAGTGACCCTCAGCTAAGGGAAGCCCTCAAGATAGTTAAGTCCAAAGCAGACGGCAAAGAGTTACAAAGGGCTCTCCCAAAACTGGGCAACAACATGGCAGACGAAATTCAAATTTGATAAATGCAAACTGGAAAACACTCTCAACTCCTAGATATAAAATGATAGGGTCTACATTAGGTCTTTCCACTCAAGAAAGATCGTGGTTGGAGTCATTGTGGATAGTTCTCTGAAAACATCCACTCAATCTGCTGCAGCAGTCAAAAAAGCTAACAATGTTGGGCATCATTAGGAAAGGGATAGATAAGACAGAAAATATCTCATTGCTCTACATAAATTCATGCTACACCCACATCTTGAATACTGAGTGCAGATGTGGTTGCTCCATCTCAAAAAAGATATATTGGAAATGGAAAAGGTTCAGAAAAGGGAAACAAACGATTAGCGGTATGGAACAGCTTCCATATTTAGAGAGATTAATAAGACTGGGACTTTTCAGCTTGGAAAAGAGACAACTAAGGGCGGAAATGATTGAGGTCTATAAAATCATGACTGGTGTGGAGAAAGTAAATAAGGATGTGTTATTAATTCCTTCTCCTAACACAAGAACTAGGGGTCACCAAATGAAATTAATATACAGCAGGTTTCAAACAACAAAAGGAAGTATTTCTTCACACAACACACAGTCAACCTGTGGAACTCCTTGCCAGAGAATGTTGTGAAGGCCAAGACTATAACGGTTAAAAAAGGAACTAGATTAAATTAATGGAGAACAGGTCCATCAATGGCTATTAGCCAGGATCAGCAGGAATGGTGTCCCTCACCTCTGTTTGCCAGAAGCTGGGAAAGGGCAACGGAGGAGGATGGATCACTAGGTGATTACCTGTTCTATTCGTTCCCTCTGGGGCACCTGGCATTGGCCACTGTCAGAAGACAAGACACTGGGCTGGATGGACCTTTGGTCTGACCCACTATAGCCGTTCCTATGTTCTAATGCACACAAGGCAACATTTGGAGTGTAGCAGAAGCAGATTAACAAGCTTTTAGTCAGTGTTTTATGGAGATCAGAAGGAAACTGCTGCCAAGCCCTTTTCCCTCCACTAACAGCTGCTCCCTCCTATACAACTTCTCCTCATACCTCAACAGCTAAGACAAGGGAGAAACTACCTTACCTCTCAGGCCTAGGAGTGGAGAATGAAAGCAGCTATTCTGTTAAATAGTCATGGAGTATCACAAAGTAACCACCGTGCAACATCCTTGCCTTGCAGTGTGGTGTTCATATCAATAGAAAATAAATCTGTATCATGGTAATGAAAATATTTCAGAATATCAGGATGTCCCATTGATTTATTTGGTGTGTCTGACTCTATTCAACTCTTCAAAGCTGAATTCCACTCTTCCATAGGTTAAACCCCCCTCACCCCCTTTTTTTTTTTTTTTTTTTTTAGAGTTTACACTAACAAAGCTGATTTTTGCTGTATGCAGCAAATGAACATGACGCACTCTGGAAAAATACTGAATCTCATTGAAGAGAGCAATGCAGACTGTTTATCTCCGGAAAATATCCAGGTAATCGTCCCTTTTTATTTTTAGCCATCCACCTCTCAAAAGCCTTACTTAAAATGTCAAATATGTGGCAAGTAGTATTTCTTCCTGTCAGACTGACTCTCCCTTTTTCTTTTAAGATCAGTTTCTTTGCAGGTCTGGTGAGGCCCTCCTTAGAGACAAGACGATACAAGCCCCCAGGGATATAAGGACACCCATACCTCACTAACTGATTTAAATAAGCCCAGTACCTTTTGATGCAATATGCTTATGACATGCTCTTTATCCAAACTGAACAATAAATCTAGCCTTTGAGATTTTGGACAAGAAAAATAAATCTAGAGGATCCCTCACCAGATGTCGAAGCTCTTTCAAGTCCCTGCAGACTGTGTAGAAGACACCAAGCAGAATATTAATGTACGCAGCATAGAAATCAGCAGAATATTCTGGAGGATGATAATGGGACAGAATCTTTTGTAGATGTCCTGTTCAGATATAAACAAGTTTGAATTTTTTCCCCAAAAAGCTGGCGATTGTCTTATTGTACTAATCATATTTTAAAAATTAAGTGCAACACAAGCCAAACAATGATAGTCAGCTGTACAGTAGAACCCAAATCAACAGCAAAAAGAAAACCCTACCAATAGGGGTAACAAAACCAAAAATGGCCCGGTTCCCTCAACATAAAAAAAAAAAAACCACACACCCCCAAAAAACACACCACACCCCCTAAACTTAAACACCATCACAACGCTAAACCACACTAACTTTACTGACAACTAATTACAAGAAAAGCCTTAAACCATATGCTGCCAAAATGGCAAAGGATATAGAAACAGTCTCAACATCTGCAGCTAACCACAGCTGCGGGGGAGAAACTCAGATCTCCCAACATGCTCCTGTACTTCCATCAGCTGGCTGAGCTCTTCCTGTGACGGCCATGTGCATCTCACTAATGGGGATCCCCAGAAACAATTCTCAAACAAGAACAAAAAAGTAAAATGGGATTTCTAGTCAAAATGGATGAGGTAGATTGGGCTTTGCAGACTAAAGTGGCATAATAATTGGGGGTGGTATGTTCTCAGACTGCATGCAAAAGCAAAATGTGTTATGGGTGTTCCCTGGGAGGAAAACTGAGGACATGAGAAGGCTGGAGTCTCTGACCCTGGTGGGCAGTTCACTAGTTAGCATGCAGTGTGTGGTTTGAGATAGGGGATCCATATTGGAAATCTACATGAATTAAGAAGGAGGGTATCTCTGATGCCTAACTAGAGGGTGATTGGGAATATAGAGCTTGTAATTTTACCAAAGCCACCTCTAGTTATTAAAAAACAAAACACTGCCTTCTGGATTCTAGTAACCAGCATACACAACTGTCACATTTTCTAACTGATTTAAAGCTGAAGCTTCAGCCTACTCTCATTGCTTAACAAAAGAACTAAGGGCTTGTCTACATTACCCGCAGGATCGACAGGCAGCGATTGATCCCGGGGGGGCGGGGTGGGGGGGAGTGGTGTGAGGGGGTGTCCATTTATCACGTCTAGTCTAGATGCAATAAATTGACCGCCGAGCGCTCTCCCGTCGACTCTGGTACTCCACAGGAACGAGAGGTGCAGGCAGAATTGACTGGGGAGCGTCAGCTGTCGACTCACTGCAGTGAAGACACCACAGTGAATAGATTTAAGTACAAGGACTTCAGCTATGTTATTTACGTAGCTGAATTTGCGTAATTTAGATTGATTCTCCCCCCCACATGTAAACCAGGCCTGGGTGTTTGAAATGCTTAGATGGAAAGTCCTTGATCCAAAGTACTAATATTAGTTATTCATTCAACAAAAAAAGTAGAAAAAAAATTAAATTACCTATGCTGTAGTCAGGAAAATACAAGGTGAATGGCTCCAAGCATCCAGTGTTTGGACGAAACAGTTCCCACACAATTTCACTAAGGAAAATAACAGTGACATTTCTGTCTGTCTGTAAGAAGAAAGAGGGAAAAGGTCACCTTGCATGTTAAAATATTAATCAGAAGAACAAGTGTTAGGATTTTTCATTTGAAGAATTTCATCAAATTTAGTGTTTAACACAAATTATTAGCATATTAATAAGTCTTTTGGTGGCCTAATCAAGGAGCTCATACATTTGCAATTTTCATAATTATCTGGGATTCCTGTATATCTCTTGCCGTTTAATTGACATTTAAGCTACTAGGGACCTGGGGTACCAGGCAATATGAAGTTGCTTCCCTTCCCAAAATTAAGCCAACATTTCACTTCAATAATTAAACCCAGAATTTCATTAGGAGATTGTACAGAACAAGTTGAGGAGGTAAAGGAGGACCAAAATTTTGTGAAGGGAACACACTCAGGCTTAATTTATAAAGGTCATCTGACTCATGACACTACAAAGTTAGCTCTGTACTTAACTGATTGCTTTGCCATCTTAAATGTGGTTATGACTGGTAAGTAACTAAACCTTCACCTCAGCAAAGTCTGTGGCATTATGCAAGTTCCAACTTAATATTAAGTTGGTCATTAGAGAATATTTCTATATGAAAAATTATTTTACACAGTTCCCACAATTTAAGAATGAGAGAGAAATATTTCTGATGTCCTATTAATTTTTTTTTAAAATATCTGAGAGCTTACTTTAAAAAAAGAAAAACAGGCTAGCATATTCACATGTCATATACAATTTTAATAGAATGTGCAATTCCGTTATTCCACATGTCATTGTGGGGGTCATCTTCATCTATCATTACTGTTAGGACAGATTTTGCTCAGTGAACGAAGACTACATGGTTAAGGTAAACCAATCAATCCTCAAAATGTTCTGAGCTTATACCATACAAATATAATGCTACATTCTTTAATCTCCGCAGGTAGATTGCAACTGTACTAAAAACTCAGCAGTAGAGAGAGATGCCTTCCAGTATGATTCTTCCGTGAAGAGATTTCAGAGTTCTAGAAGCAGCCCATAAGTTGAAAAGTAAAAAATTTGTTTCCTCAGGTTACTTCCACAATACAAAAATCACCAGAAATTAAGAACCACTGAAGTAAACAGAAAAGTAGTGTGGCACATGGATTCCAGAAAGTGCAACTGAATAAGGGACTAGCACAGATTATCAGAAAAAGCATAGCGCATGCAGTTCTTCCTTACATACACTTCTGTTTCTTGGTAGCTTCAAATATAATAAACAGATTTACAATAGGCTGATGTGCAATGATTCAGGATACAGTTTCCATCTTGCACAAAGATATTCTTTAAGGGAAAGGTGGAACAATCTATTTATTTTCCAGTGCTTATGAATTACCTAAATATCGTCCCCACCACAGGCAAGGGGATTGATATGCTTCTCTAATCTACCTCTACAGCTGCAAATTAATCAGCAATTTAAAAAATATTTATTAAAATGTAAACGACCACGTTTTTCATTTATTTTACACTAGGTCTTTAAACAAGTTATTTGCTAAGAAAACGTGAGGCAGAAAGTGAGTGACACTGACACGCACCTACAGAAGTGTCTTGCCAGCAAGATCAACATACAGCTACAAAGTGTCCCATCCACTAACTCAAGCACATCAAGTCTCTACAGCTTTCCACAGCCATTGGAATAGTCAATTTCACAAAACAACACAGCCCAACGGACAACAGAAAGGCTCCCACTAACTTTAATGGGCTTTAACTCAAGTCCAGTCCTTTCCTAAATCATTAGCAAGAGCAGCAGAAAAATATATTCTGTTCCTATCCCAAACAAAATCCCAAAAGAGTAATGCCTTTGCCTTATTGCAACAGGGTAAACTCTTAAGAGATTGTTACACACACACCAAAAGTCAGAGAGCCTCTGCGGGTGATAAAAACAGGACTAGCCACAATTGCATGACCAATGTTCCAAGAGTCCTTGCACCTGTCTCCAGGAGGGCCATCACAAAGGGTTCTCAGACACTGCTGGAGAAACTGCAAAAAAACAAACACTCCGGGAATACGGTTCATCTGTCCAACCCCGCACTCGCTACACTTGGGTTTAGCTCCCACTAAAGCAGCTGTTTCAGGATGGTTTGCACCCCCACACAGCCAGTTGCCAAGCTTTAAGAGCATGCTACCGTTTAACCAAGACAGTAGTAGCTGAGCTATGCTAAGCTCTTTTCAGTTAGAAGTTGCTCCTTATATACCTTACAGTCCTTCCAAGATTTTTATACTCTTTGGCAACTATTAAAAAACCTTGAAGAGTGGCAGAATTTTGTAATCTCAAAAAGCAATACATATTTTAGAAGATGCAGTGTACAGTGGAAGCAGCTTCAAAAGAATGCATAAAAGAGCAGACCTTACAGGACAACATATTAAATGGAATAATAAACAGAGCACAAAACGACAGACCATGGTGATATTTAAATTCTGATTTGAGTTCTGCCGCTGACCAAAATTCTGCAAAAAGTTACAACTTTCAGGAAAAAAAAAAGTTATACCCAAACTTCTCTACTCTAGGGAGTTCACTGGTAGTGAGAATGGGTAGATGATTTAATACCCTGTATCTATCTTTAACTTCTATGAAATATACATCAAAAATACTTTACCCAGTCACTTACCATTTCTTGTAGTCTAAGAAACCCTGGCAACACATTTGCCTCCATTTCCCTCAGCTGCTCTGCTTTATCCAGCACCTTTTAACAAACAAATTTTATTATATACTCAATTTTATTCTGACCTTTTATGTGGATTTTAAAAAACTTTCTAGTCCAGCAGATAGAGCCACATTTCACCCATAACTTTGGATGGCAAAGGTAACTACTTAAGTGGTAAGACACAAACAGAGCATGTCTGGGGGATTGCTGTTTCAAGGGTGATGGGAGCAGCCTTAGCAGTTTAGCCATCCAAGAAAAGTGATAACCCCCTAGAAACCAACTTTGTCATGTCTTACTGCAGTTATGAAGTGGAAATGCATCAGTGACTTATTTGAGTATTATTCATAAAGCCATGACATCGGAAGCAGCCAATTAAAAGTTTCATTTTTATCCAGCATTATGTTTTTTCAGAAGATTAAAATATCCCACACATTAGGATATTGCATGAATATGTTATTACAAAAGAATACTTTTTTCCATCAAGATTACCTTTTACTAAATGTGTTTGAGGAACTGCTTAATTTTTTTCAATGTAGCTATCCTTCTGAGGTTCATAAAGAGAGACTCCTGGGGAAATTATGCACATCTGTGGATGCACAGAATTCCTCTGTCTCACAGAATTTTGTATTTTCCCACATAATATTTATTTTGCCTAAGACATGTTGCAGTTCTGCCTTTTCCCCACCAGAGGCCACTGGGGCACCAGAACAGCCAGCTGCCTTCATGCTGGCTGTTCTAGCACCACAGCGGCCTCCTGTGGGCAAGAGGCAGAACTGCAGCACATAGGCAAAATGGATTTTGTGTGGGAAAATACAAAAATTCTAAGCCCAGTGCTCTAGAATTCCAGCAGGAGGAGAAGTTCACCAGAGCACCTGCCGGCGGAGCGAGGTTAGGACAGAGTGGGTCACACAGGGCTGCTGGGGGTGGTATGTGTCACAGATTAGGGTTGAGAATGGCTAGTGGGGGGTACAGACTGGACCATGGGCTCAGGAGCTAGTAGGGTGACAGTGCTGAGCGTAGGAATGGGGAAGGGGGACTGAAGACACCCATGGGGATGAGGAATTCAGAGACCGGGCAGATGTGCCTGACAATGCAAGAGGCTTGGGGTCAGCCAGAGTCTGCATGGGGGAGGCATCCCAACACCCTAATAATCCGCCTTTGCCCCAAAGAAAAACCTCCCACCCACACCCAACACCCTCCAGGTTCACTCCAGGCTCTTTCCCTCTCCCTCAGCTCCTCTGTTACCCCTGACTCCCCCAAGCCTTTGCGCTGTTTCTGACAGAGGCAGAAAATACAGTTCTGTATTGTAATTTAAATGAATTACATAAAGTTCTTACTTGGCATATTAATACAGAAATCTATTTGTCAAAAAAAAAATTACAAGAATCTTTTTTCCCTGCTCTGTATTGTTACAGACATACTTGCTGACAGATATTTTGACATAAATTACCAAAATAATTGAAACTAGCATGATTATATTGTGTTATTTTAGCAAATAAAAATGCAGAATTTCCAAAATTGTGCACAGAATTATTGATTTTTTGGTGCAGAATTCCCCCAGGAGTAAAGAGTCTGATTTTCTTCTAATAATAATGTATTTTGGCCTCAAAAATTAGGTCCAGAGATTTACAAGATTCTTTGTATTATTACGTGGAAGCCTAATACTGCTCCAAGAAATAACTAAAAAAAACCAACACTATGTGGTAACTATTAGTAAATATCAACTTTTTAAATGGGCACAACTGCATATAAACAATTACTATATTGAAGAGAGAAATGGAGGCCTTACCCAGAGTGAAAATATTGCGGATTATAATTCATTAAAGAATTCTTAAGATGAACACAATTAATACCTTCACTGAAGGATAAAAGAGGGAAAACACAGGTTTATTTTATGTTCCACTTACTACGCTGAATTTAACTACTGATATTAAAGTTGATTATTTCTTTTGGATTATTGTTGCTGTAATGACACTACAGATCTGTAGAGGATTATATTATTCTGTTCCCATTAATGAGTTTCCTTCTTTTCAAAAAGTTTTATTTATGATTTTTTTTTCCAAACCATTGAAAGGCATGAATCTTCATTGCTCATGGAAGAAGAGCACTAGGTAGAAAATTAAGGAATGTCGAATTTAAAAAATGGTATTTCATGATCACACAAAACTGGGACGGACATTATACAGCAGTACCCCAGTCACAAAAGCTCATGTTATTGGAATCTGTTTTATTCAGGTAGTAAAGATTACATCATCCCAAGATTTCAGACTGAAGTCTGATTGGACCAGAACTCAAGATATCTGTTCTGGGAAACCTGAACTGCTCAAGTTTACTCAGAATTTCTTATAGAGGGAACACATGCATTTTTACTCACCAGATATTCACTAGTGTTCCTTTAACAAAATTCCCTTGTAACTGTTTAGCATCAAGTTCTAAAAACTTGAATTAAGCATGTGTTAAGCAACTGTTTTCCATAGGCTGCTAGCATAGAGAGACCATGGCGTATCATGTTGACTAACACTGTCTCACTGTTTATTTGTACTCCCCCATCCGTCTAGATCCATGTGTCTCTTGTCCTATACTTAGATTGTAAGCTCCTTTGAGCATGAACCAGCTTTTTGTTCCACGTTTGTACAGCACCTAGCACAATAGGTTCCTGGTCTATGATCAGGGCTCCCAGGTGCCACTGTAATACAAATAATTAATAATAAAGTGGGAAGCAAACAAATTGGAATGCCTTTGTCCAAATCCACATCCAAATTGATAGGTTTGGCCTTTTCAGTTATGACTAAGCAATGTATAGCGTCTAACAATGCACAGCTAGGGTCCAGGTCACTGAAAAGATATATAAATGAATCTCCAAGTCACTTTCTATATCGCCCCTTTGCACCATAATACATACTCAAAGGCTAACATCCCAAACTGACTTACTAAACTATTAATTTCTGATGAAGTGAGCTGTAGCTCACGAAAGCTCATGCTCAAATAAATTGGTTAGTCTCTAAGGTGCCACAAGTACTCCTTTTCTTTTTGCGAATACAGACTAACACGGCTGTTCCTCTGTAAACTATTAATGAAAATATTAAACGTTATTTATTATACTGAAGAGATTCCCTCTTCAGACTTATTTTTTTCTGGCACAGTAGTACACAATTTAAAAACAAAACAAAACAGATCAACACATCAGACTGGGTTTTTTTGTAGCAGATAATATATATAGTGATAACATGACCAGTTGTATGCTAGTAGTTGTTGGTGCACTTCTAGTGGCTCATCACCCACACACTCAAATACCAACAGCCTATAATTGCAGATGTTATGAACCCAACCAGAAAGCAATATGGAATAACTTTTGGTATATGTTTTAGCTTTTTTTTTTTTTTTAATATTGCTACAATTTCATTGTTAAATCACATTATAAAGAACACTAATTCTAAATGTAAGAATAAATACAAGTCATATCAGCATCATCTTTCAAATAGATAGAACAAATCATTTTGTCTTCATGCTCAATACCTGTTCTTGGATTAGAAATCTTTGCCTGAGAGCAACCATTTATCTTAATTTTCTCTGATTTAATTAGGGCTGAAATATTTTAAATGATTTACCCCAGAAATCAAATAGAATAATATTAGTTTTGCCAGTTTATGCTGCCAGTACACAGTTCTTTCATCAATCTCAATTTAAACCATCCTTTAATAAATCCAGAGGAGACAAGTTAATTCCCACAAATTGATTTCCGCCCCAATTCCTATCTGTTTCCATTAACAGAGTTGAAACACGCTAATTTATCAAGTAATTCTCCTCATCTAGCAACATTTTACCCAATACAATTGATCATTTCACAGTATTTAACGCCCTGTCTTCCAATATCAATTTTCAAGTAACGTCTAATATTCTGAGGGATAGTAATGCTAAATAAAATGTTCCTACGGATATTTAAATCAAGCATTTTCCCCTCTAAGTCATATACCAATATGAAAGCAATGGTGTTATGTAAAATTCCCTGGCACACATTTCAATCTTACAGTCATGTTTAAGAATACTCATTTTACTTTTGTAGCTATCTATTAAAAAAGTTCTGACTAACCTTCCATGTTCTTTAAATATTCAAACTTTATTCAAAACACTCCTGTATAAGTTACAAGATATTAATGAATCCACTATACAGAGTATGAACTTCATCAACTCAATACTGTATGTATTTTAAAAAAATATAAAACATTTAGCTGTGCCTGCAAAATTTACATGAAGATGTTTAAACACGCTTGTTCACTTCTTCCTTACTTGACTTCAAGTAAGGCAAACCACCACACTCAACTGGTTAGAGAGAATATTTAAAAAAAAAAAAAAAAAAAAAAAGGTCTTCCAGTGGTATCAAACTTGCGATCTGAACACCTTCAATTTTAGTCACATGGTCAATTTGGCCTCCTTTAACAAATCTTTTGTTCCCTTTTTCCCAAAGAAAATACATTCTGGAGAGTGCGTCCACTATTTATATTATTTGAAGTTCTCTGCTACTACAACTATACTTCATGCATTATTTTTCACTTGGAGTACAACTATAGTCTTTCTGCTGGACTCCTTTCTTCCTCCATCCACTGTTCACATGAAGTACAAAATTTTGCCTATTTAACTTTTCATTGCTCTACTTTTCTCCACACTGGCTGCCTTTACAGGTAAGAACTGAGTTTTAAATCTTGCTAATGAAGATTGAAGTTTTATGGGAGTTAAACAGCCCTTTTTATAAGGGAACCAATCAGTGATGAGCTGCCAGAAGCTCAAGAACTGGTTCCTTCACTTGCTCCGGGTCTTCGGCGGCACATCCTTCAGTCCCTCCGGGTCTTCAGTGGCACTGAAGGAACCGCTGCCGAAATGCCGCCGAAGACCCGGAGCGAGTGAAGGACTCACTGCCGAAGTGCCACCGAAGGCTCGGAGTACTGCCGGGTCAGTAAAATTTCACATGGGAGCCTCCCCAGCCGAGAGCTCAGGCAGGACAGACAGGACGGTCCCACGGGCCACATCCTGTCTGTCCCGCCTGAACTTCCCCACCCCTTTAACAACCGGGTCTAAACCAGCTTCAAAATTTAACCACCAGTTCGTGCAAACCGGTATGAACTGGCTCCAGCTCACCACTGGAACCAATCAGCATGACCTCTAGATTAAACCTGTGCTAGCCTAGCTACTCTCTCCACTTGGGTACTCCCCATGTAGCTTCCCCTATTCCCCCATTTGGTTTCTCTCTAATAGAACTATCTCCCAAAAGAGATTTGTGAGGTTGACTCTCTGCCTCATTATAAATCAACTCCGTTCTCTCTACTGGCAACATTTTTTTGTTAAAATGTTTAGTTAACTATTTAGCACAATCTACTATTAGTATTTGCACGTGAATAGTCTTCTAAAAAGAGGCATATAGGGCCTGAGCAAACCCCAGTGAAAATCAACTGAAAGATTCTCATTAATTTCAATAAGCTTTGATTCAGGCTCACACAGCACAGTACAGAAACTATGTAAATTGATGAGCAACACCTATTTTTTCATACATACAGGAACTCTGATAAATACAGTTAAGCAAAATAAAAACAGGAGAAACATGCAAATTAAATTACTTACAATATATACTGTTTGATTCTGTAGATCTTGAGTAATAATTTCTTGCTTAAATAGACATACAAAATCATTAAATGTGTCACAAGGCACATGAGAACCGTGTTTATTTTCAGATGAAAGGTTCTGCAACTGGGTCAAAATTTCCTCTAAAAGGAGCCTCGAAGTAAAGCATTCGACACAGTTCACAAACACATGAGGAAGCTAAAAAAGGAGAAGAGAGAGACAATTATATTGAAAGAAATACAAAATGATAAAAAATAATCTAAATGGTTAAAAATCAGAGCTCAATATTCTAATTTCTTTGCTCCCCAGACATAGGAATAAACTGCATCACCCCCAGAGGCACACAATATTTACAGAAATATGATCAATAATGGATTATCATATGTGTAGCAATTCAAAATTTTACATACCACAAAGGGCAACTAAACAGATTTTAAGCATATTATCTTGTGACAGAGTTACTAATATGAAACATTCAGTGTAAATTATGTTTAAAAAACCCTCTTCAGAATAACTCACAAGAAGAAAAAAGAAGGATGTATTTTTGATCAAACACACTTTTTAATCTATTACACATACTGGGTCTAAAGCGTCTGACTCAGTCTGGGTCTCAGACTTCCATTTGACAGTAAAGTTTCATGTTAAATAAATCTAGAATTTAGTTTAAATAGAAAAAAATATTTGGAATGCAACTTCCACATACGCTCTTGAGACAAGGTATTGATATATAGTTCCAATGCACTGTCAGAAGCATGCACCCATGATTTATCTGTGAAAATGTGCTGATGATTGGAAGCATTACATATAGCATGATGTGTATTCAAAGATACTCCTGCCATGAGCTTTTACAGTGGCAAAGACTGCTTCACTATTTCAGGTTCTCATCTCCTCACTTCATTTCTCAAATCAATTTCTGCAACACTTTTCATTAACAGAAGCCCTAAGATCACCTTACAGCATTATTTATATCGACATTTCAAGGCGGTTATGCTACAATTTAGCTGTATCAGTTTGTTTTGGGTTGCAGGTCTGTGTGAACACAGTACACAACTCGTACTTCTTCAGTGTGTGAAGTCCTGTATAGTCAAAGCATTGAAATACATAAGATTCTTATTTCCATAAGGTTATTTACATATTTAACTCCTTTCAGAGTGGATTATAAAAATGACAAATTTTTTATTTTGCTATTTAAATTATAATAAGTTCTTTTAAAAATAAGCCTGTTTAAAATGAAATGTGAATTTAATACAAAATATGTGAAGGCCTAAACATATTATTTCTTAAAACATTTAAATAAAAAAAATTTTCTGAAACCATGGGCCTTTATGAAAAACGGAGTTGAAGACTGTTTTTCTGTATAAAGAAAGAATCAGTGGGAAAACATTAACTTTTGTGGCCAAGCTTCATAAATATAGCACAATAGGTCAGCCTGTTATATTATTTTTCTAGGCTGACCTGAAATAATTAGTTTAATTCACTGACTACCGTTAATCCCTCTGTTTAATAAATCATTTAGTTGTAAATGTGAAACACTTTGACTAGAGAAGTTTATGTATCCAAAACTTTTAAGATTTTGTTTAATAAAAAGTTTTACATGCTGTTTTGTGTGTTTAATTAAACTCCATTTACCATCCTAATGCAGCTTGACACAAATCATGAGCAAAAAGTTAATTATATAGTAAATAAGCAATAAATCAGTCACCATTTTTAACATACTAAAATGTACAATTAATAAGTATCTGAAAATATTAAGATATAACTTCTTAAATAAATGTATATAGTTACAGCGTACCCTCCTAGGTAGCAAAAAGAAGTACCAAATGTAGTGTTAAGGCTCTATTTGGCTGTAAATCAACATGTTTTAATGGTTGTATCAACCAATGAGAATGCACCTCTCTTCAGAAAAATAACTGAAGTACAAATAGAAAAGCTGATTAAAATAGATTTAAATTGAGGCTTTGCACTTGGCGATTTAAATCAATCCACCCTGACTCCATGACTGGTCAGAGGAATGAAACTGACCAGTTAGAGAGACAGCACGATCTATGTACAAACTTCACCAGAACCCATGCCCCTAATCATCTGAAAACCCAGAGCTGCTCTTATTTTGTTTACAGCAGAAGAGTTCAAGTTTTGTGACTTCTTCCACAGCTTCAGCCATTACTTTGTGGGGGTTGGGGGAGGAAAGATCTCAGCACTAAAATGAGCTTTAAAATTAAAAAGGTGTGTGGGGGGGTGATTTTACTGCTACTTCTAAGTAAAATTTTAGGCCTGTCAATTTTGGCAGTATCTTTTTAATGTTCAAAAGTTAAGGCTGTCTGCCTTAATGGAACAACATAGAACAATAAAAATGGAAGGAATCTCTCACTCACATATATATAAGGAATGAAAGGTTACTTACCTAGCAACTGTAGCTCTTAAAATAGGTTGCTGGCACAGAACCTCACTCTTCAGGAAATATATGTTCTTCTTCACTGAACATCAAAACCTTCTGGAAAGCAGTAGTCACTAGGACACACACATTCCTTGCAGAACCAAACCTCGCATGCAAGGTTATATATAGAAGCCCCGGTACTGAGCTCATTACACTCGTCCCACTTAATTAGAACCCATATAAAAGGCTCAGTGGATGTGGGAAAGTGTGGATACATGCTGACAACCTATGCAAACAATGTTTAGTAGAAAGCATCCTTATCTCCTTTTTTGAGTACTGTAAAGAAGAGCCTCACTCATGGGAGATTAAATTGTCTTAAACAAATTGTCTTTTGAATGGTGGTTACTGCTACTTAAAGAACTGTTCTCACAAACTGCACAAAGATCTAGTTGTCAAGTCAAGTGACTGATGTCTAAGTGTATGGTTTCAACTCAGTGTAGCATAACTTGGCAACATAGATATTCTTCAGACAAGCTGTAGAGGCTACTTTGGACCTAATGGAACATGCTCTAAGTCCCTCATGTATGGAGATGCCCACAAGGATGTAATGGTTACTAAGTATACAAAACTTTTGTCCACTTCAGGCCTTCTCTTGGACTTATCCTAACTAGAGATGTAAATATAGTTTAAAAAGATAACTGTTTAAATGATTAAAATTGTATCATTTAACCGGTTAACCAATTAAAGGGAGAGGGGCTGGGTCTACTCCAGCACCACCATCGATGCAACAAAAATTCAAGTGGTTAAGTGCGCAAACAGGATGCAATTTTTAGCCAAAAAAAGTCATGTAAAGGAAGAGGCACATCAATAAAACAAGGTAAAAGACGCCAACAGGGTGGACAAAGTTAGGTTGGCCTAGCTCTAAGATTCTCAAAGCTCGTATTTTATATGACATCTTATTTGCCTTATCAGATTGCTCAAATCAGCTCTTAAACACTCTTAACTCACGACTGCAGGTTTGCAAAATGAGCTTTCAATTATGGCAGTCTAATGGTCTCTCTATATTATTTTTATTATAAATATTTGCATTGTAAAAAGGATAAATAGTAATTTTCAGTTCACCTCATAACAAATACTGTAGTGCAATCTCTTTACATTTGTAAGTTGCGCTTTCACCATAGATTTATTTTGTTATATAACTGAACTCAAAACACAAAACAATGTAAAACTTTACAGCCTACAAGTCCACTCAGCCCTACTTCTTGTTCAACCAATCACTAAGACAAACAAGTTTGTTTACATTTAAGGGAGACAATGCTGCCCACTTCTTATTTACAATGTCACCTGAAAGTGAGAACAGACATTCACATGGCACTGTTGTAGTCATCACTGCAAGGTATTTACTTGCCAGATATGCTAAACATTCGTATGCCCCTTCATGCTTGGCCACCATTCCAGAGGACATGCTTCCATGAATTGTATGTCTCCTGCTCTGTGTTTTACCTGCATTCTGCCATATATTTCATGTTATAGCAGTCTCGGATGATGACCCAGCATGTCGTTCGTTGTAAGAACACTTTCACTGCAGAGGTGACAAAATGCAAAGACGGTACCAATGTGAGATTTCTAAAGATAGCAACAGCACTTGACCGAAAGTTTAAGACTCTGAAGCACCTTCCAAAATCTGAGAATGATGGGGTGGGGAGCACGCTTTCAGAAGTCTTAAAAGAACAACACTCCGATGAGGAAACTTCAGAACCCGAACCACCAAAAAAGAAAAAAATCAACCTTCTGTTGGTGGCATCTGACTCAGATGATGAAAATGAGCATGCGTCAGTCTGCACTGCTTCGGATCGTTATCGAGTAGAACCCATCATCAGCATGGATACATGTCCGCTGGAATGATGGTTGAAACATGAAGGGACATATGAATCTTTAGTGCATCTGACATGTAAATATCTTGCAAAGCCGACTATAGCAGTGCCATGCGAACGCCTGTTCTCACTTTCAGGTGACATTGTTAACAAGAAGAGGTCACCATTATCGCTTACAAATGTAAACAAACTTATTTGTCTGAGCGACTGGCTGAACGGACTTGTAGGCTGTTAAGTTTTACATTGTTTTGTTTTTGAGTTCAGTTATTTTTTTATACATGATTCTACATTCGCAAGTTCAACTTTCATGATAAAGAGATTGCACTACAGTACTTGTATTAAGTGAATTGAAAAATACTATTTCTTTTGTTTTTACAGTTCAAAAATTTATAATAAAAAATATAAAGTGACCACTGTACACTTCGCATTTTGTTGTAATTGAAATTAATATATTTGAAAAAGTGGAAAACATCCAAAAATTTATATAAATGGTATTCTATTAAAATTAATCATGCAATTAAAAAGGTTTTTTTTAACTGCTCGAGAGCCCTAATTTTAAATCATGAATTAAATCAGTGAACAGAAAAAAACTTAAATTATTGATTTTAATCTTATTTTGCATTTGTACTTTAGTAATTTTCCTAGAGAGAGAATCATTCACTTCAGTTAGTATATTTTGGTACTTCATTTTGCTAACCAGGAGGATACGCTATATCTATATATATTTATTTAAGCAGTTATATGGCTTTGCACATGAGTTATTCAGATTCTTAATTTTGTAATAGCTAGAAAATGGTGAATGTTGCATTTCTGATTACCAGATGATTAATTTGTTACTCATATACTGTACAGCACCTAGTGCAGTAGTGCCTTGAACATGATCAGAACTTCTAGGCATCATTGTAATACAAATAGCCAAAAACCAGTAAAATTTGGGTATTTAGTATTTGTAGCATGCATACCAATACAGTTTTATATGCAAATAAAATAGATTTAAAGGTGAATTTCTCAGCTCAAAAAAAGTTATCTGTAATTGACTGTCTCAGATCAGTGAGTGATGTCTTTGCTGCAGTCAGTCCAGACAGCCATCTTAGTTTACCACTCCTCACTTTAAAAAAAAAAAAAAAGCCTTTTTGTTTGCTTGTTCTTTTTAATTTCTAGCCAGGCTTATTATGATCAACATTGGCCCTTTATTAATTACCATTCACCCACCTTTCTGTACTAGACCCACCAACTCCAGAACATTTCCTTTTATCAATTTTGAATTTTATGAGTTTATTCTATTTTAATTTGCATTGTGTTGTGCAGCATCCAAAATGCCTTGATGAGAAGGAAGATGTTTTATGTGGCATCAAGCAATAAGTGGGAGAGATACTGTAAGAATAACAGACAAGAAATAGGAGCAAAATAAATTGCTCTTGCAGTTCTCCACCAAACTGAAAGTAGCTAGTTTGGGAACTTTTTTCTTTTTTTTAAAATTCCTCATTGGCTCAAAGTGTTTTATGAATTTCATAAGAATTTATTCTTACCTCTAACGTTTCTAGAAGAGTTTGCATCACATAGGTCTTGCCACTAGATGTATGTCCATAGATAAAGATGGATGGGAAGCTAAAATGCTGACGCTAGAAAAAAGTTAAAAAAATGTTAATACTTAACATTCTCTTTATTTCTGAGATTTAGAGACCTTTGCCTCATCCAGTTTTCTGCCAGAAGAAAAGCTTTGTTTTAAATTAAGAGAGTCAAATACAGTACACTCCAATTAAGATGCAACATGGTATTTTATCACATTGATTCTATGGTCCTCCAAACCTGAGAGCAGGGTTCAAAAAAGGCCCTAAAGCCACCACTGAAACTCCCAGAACATTAAGGCTGTGTCTTCATTAGGCAAAGGGTGCGTTCTTAACTCAGGTTAGCTAACCTGAGGTAAAATTCTAGTGAAGACAAGGTAGTGTGTTGGCTTTACTTCAATCTGTTAACTAATAAGAAAATGACAACTGGGATTTTAACTCAAGTTAGCTAACCCGAGTTAGATCATGTCTTCTTTAGGGAAAAAAAAGTGTTCTGGATTCTGCCACCTTTACTCATGTTGAGTAGTAGCTTACTTGTCAAGATGTCCCACTGATAATGATGGCACTAATTGCAGAGTACTATTCAACATGTGTAAAGAAGTCAGACTGGCCTTAAGATCGTATTTGCTTTTGACCCTTTAAGGGTACATCTACACTGCAAAAAACAAGATCAAACTACGGCACTAAAAATCATAGACTCAGATGTGTAGGACTGGAAGGGACCTCAGTAAGTCATCTAGTCCAGTCCCCTGCACTCAAGGCAGGACTAATTATTATCTAGACCATCCCTGACAACTGTTTGTCTAACCTGCTCTTAAAAATCTCCAGTGATGGAGAATAGCAGTTTAGATGTTCCTGGTTGGGCCGGAGCTCAGGTCCTGAGTCCTACCCCTTTCCCAGTTTGCAGAGCTCAAGCAGGAAAGACTGCACTGCTATTTTTAGCACTGTAGCACAGCCGGGCTCTGTGTCTTACTATGCATTTTGAGGTTTTTTTTGGTAGTACTCTCCTTTAGAGTCAAAAGGCTGAATATCAACTTCCACCCTCCAGATATTTTCTATAATGGAAAGCAATTAATTTACGCTTACAACTCAAAAAAAAAGTGTAATTTCTTAAATTATGTAGTGATAAATACAAGTTACAAAAGGGCTAAGACAGAAGATATTGGAACAGGAAAGGAGAGGGAGAAGGACAGAGAGGGAGGCAAGCCTCCTCACCCATAATACCTAAAACCATGGTTGTTACCCAGTATAGTAGTATTCATGCTATATTTCTCAAGGTAAACTTAGAAATCATTTTAAGGGCTAATAAAAAATTAATATCTGAAGCTCTCCTATTGTTTCACAAAGCCTGAGCAGCCATTTTTCAGCTGCTGATATTTAAAATTTTACCCAAACCATGTAAGTATCTTAGGAGCCTAAATCACTTACATGCTTTGAAAATTTTACCCGACTGTTAAAACCTATGTTCCTATGATTAAAGGGATAACCCAAAGCAGTTTAAATTTAATGAAAAGGAGGAAGTGGGGGGAAATTAAAAAAATAAAATAAAAATGAGAGAACTGAGATTTGAGGGAGAAGACTGGAAGCAAATCCAATTCATTCTGAAGGTATCTTTATTTTTTGTCAAAATGTGCCCATTGTAGCTTTAACGCAGCTGTACATTTTTTTTTTTAAATTAACTGAGGGCTTGGCTACACTTGCAGATGTAGAGAGCTTTGGGTCAAACCAGCCTTCATACAGCACAGTAGGGAAAGCGCTGCAGTCTGTCCACACTGACAGCTGAAAGTGCACTGGCATGGCCTCATTTGCAGCACTTATAGCTGCACTGGGAGCAGTGCATTATGGGCAGCTATCCCAGTGGCTGCAACATGCTTTTCAAATGGGGAGGCGGTGGAGTGGAGAGAGTTGTGTGTATGGGAGGGGGGAGGAGAGTGGCTTTTTGGGGTGCTGAGAGTATGTCAGCACACTGTCTTGTAAGTACAGACCCCCTTTCCTCCCCCGCCTCTCTCTCACTCACTCAAAGCAAACATTAGTTGTTTGTTTTTTATTCAGAGCTGATAAGCAGCCCGCACTCTCGAAACAGAGCTTTGAAAGAGCCACCTCCGCCCCCCCCCCCGCACAGTTCACAACAAAGACAAGGGAGCCCACTTCAGTTAATGGAATTATGGGACATTTCCAGAGGGCAATCAAAGCGCTCTAAGGTAACTCCTCATTCACACTGATGCTGTAGCGTCTCACCCAATATGCAGCAAACCTTATCCCTCTGGGGAGGTGGAGTACAGCAGCGCTCTGGCCAGGGAGTCAGAGCGCTCTACGTGCCTTGCCAGTGTGGATGGGGAGTGAGTTAGAGCGCTCTGGGAGGCTTTATTGCAGTATCATGTGCAAGTGTAGCTAAGGCCTGAGAAACCCAAACTGACACAAAGTTAACAGAAAACATCTTCTGAATAATAAAACTGAATGCACTCAGGTCATGACTTCAAAACAAGTGCCCAAGTAAAGATAAGTCTTCAATATGTCCTGAAGGCAATGCTTGAAAAATTCACTCTCCAGTGGCAAGCAGAAAGCTTTCCTTGGAAAACATGGGGACAGCCTAAGCCATAAAGATTCTGCAGAATTTAAGCTTTTGTTTAAAAACAAATTAAGCTTCCAGCCTTTATAGCTACAATAAATAAATCAATATCCAGTATTTAAGCTTTATATATACCTTGTAAAAAAAACTCTATTGCGGTACCAGACAAACTATCAACATCAATTTACACAGTTAACTGAATGTAAATGGATACCATGCTGCCTTCCCAGAGTCTGCAGATAAAAAGCGCCGTTGCCTTTGCTACTGCAAAAGCTTTGCCAAGCACCAGTAGAGTAAAAATTAACAAATCTCTGGTAAGTTGTATAGTAGCTATTCCAGAGCCTTATAGGCAGCAATGAAGCTATCAAGAATCATGTTTCATGTTGTTTCTGTTGGGAAAGCTACCAGCACAACAGCAAAGACAGGTACCAGAGTTATCCATATGGGAGGACCACCCAAGAAAAGATGAGAGGAGTAGAGGGGCAAGGATCTTTCCTATCACCACCTCACAGCAGCTAAGAATGACTGGTAATGGAAAGCCAACTAACAGCAGCCAGGAGGGGGAAAATAGCTATAAAGCTCCCCCTTGTTTACAGTAGCTAGAGCATCTTGTGTTTCCAAGTTTATCAGACACCTACTAGCCAGAGGCTGATATGAAAGATGGATAATACAAGATCTCAAATTACAATGTAAACAGCTAGCCTAGCTCAGAGTAATAATGCATTTAAGTTTGTTTTCAACCTGTCCATAAAAACAAACATTTTAGTAGAACATCTATGATCTACCCAAATACACAATATAGCAAGAGCTACCTCTCCAAATATTGACATGAGTGATGACACTTGGGATTCTCGACAGGGCACCATACTTTCCAAGTGAAGCAAGGTAGCTTCAGGATACTCTGGATGTTCGAAATTAGGCATTTTGATTCAAGTTTCTGTCATCAGTCATCTAACTGCATATGTATGTCACCTTCCAAGAGGCAAAAAGGACCAAAGCGATGATCTGGAAAATAAAATAATGTTATTTTTTCCTGTGTGGAGAAATAAAAGTAAACTAAATAAGAGGTGACAATCTCTTCTTATAATCAGACTTTGTAACCAAGGGCAATGATGATCAATTACTTATATCACAGTAGAACCCAAAGACCCCATTCAGGACTGGGGCCCAACAGTGCTGGGCCTTATACAGAAATAGAAACAAAAAAAGAGAACACCTGCCCTAAAAGGTTTACAATTTAAAGACACAAACAAAAGGACAGGGGTAGATACAACAAATGAGCAATCAATATGCTGTCACAACTTTGCTAGTTACATGAATTGCAGTTTTTTACTTTATTTTTTGAGGGTAGATAGGAAGTAAAGGAGTAGAGAAAGGAAAGGAGAGAAATAGTCTCAGCTGGTCATCTGCTTAGCCATGATTAGCAAGGTGCTATCAGTAAGCATCATAGCAGAGACCAGCCTTATAGAAGGATATGAAGGATAAAATAGTGGCTCTTCAGATATTACCAGGGAGTTTTCCTTAAGCATAAAGGGCAGCATGGCAGCAAGCATAGAGGTGTTTAAGCAAGCAGCTGACTGGTGGGTGATAAGGGATGGGAATACTTGCAGAGTAAAAGCAGGGGCTGACACCATAATAGGTTACTAAGTCAGTTACGAGATGGTGCTAAGTTATGAAGAGACTTAAAAGGTAACAATAAGAAACATATATTTGATGTGGAAGTCAATGGGGAGCCAGTGGACACCTCAAAGAGGGATTCAATGTGATCAGAATGATAAACCAGAAAAATGATCGTTAATCTGAACAGACTGGAGGAAAGCAAAAGTTACAGCAGTCAAGTCAGGAAGAGGGCTTTGATGAGTCTTCACTTAGTAGAGAGAGGGAAAAAAGGCTAGATTTTAGAGATTTGGTTTTTTTTAAAAAGCAAGATTAAAAACACAATGACCCAGTCAAAGATGACACCTAAAAGCTACACTGCCTGAGTGACAGGGAGAATAGCGGTGTTGTCTACTCTGATAAAGAAAATGGCCAGAGGGGAGAACCTGAGAAGAAAGACTTAAATATATATGTATCTTAGTTTTGGTGATGTTTAATTTAAAATGATGACTGGACATCCAGGAAGAGATGTCAGAAAAACAAGCTAAGATAGGACTAGATGAAGCAAGATACCTCATTAGCTGAGAGGTTGACCTGTGAGTTACCAATGTCAAGATGGTACACCAAGTGCTTTACAAACTTTAAAATACCCATGGAAGGCAAATCTTGTTATGCCTAGTGTACAACAAAAGAAAAAAGAACAGCATCTCTGTTTCTGGACTGGAAAGGGGGGAACCAAACAATCCTGATTCTCAAGGTTTGCCACCCATTTCTTCAGCATGAAAAAAAAAAAAAACAATATGGTGTGAAAGTGCATCTTGACATCACATTAGTGCATGAGGACAATACAATCACCTTATTTTGCCACCACCCAAAGGCACTACATTATACCACACTCAGGAGTCCGAATAAGCCCAGGACTCACCAGACAACAGACCCTGCATATCAAGACTTTGCTGCAAGCTTTGAGGTAGGCGGCTACTTTACTAATGCCACAGATGTACGATCCCCTTCAATTTCAGGGGAAGGAATTCAACCGTGTACCCCTGCTCCCGCCAGCACCCTATCATTGTCAGGGCAGGTGGAAACCGCAGGGGCACCATCGCAGTAGCCATCATCCCCCACACCTTTGCAGCAGGTAGCAATCCCGCCCAGGCCCACACCCCCAGCACTATGCGGGGGGTGGAGGGGAGACGGATTTAGCATAAAAACATCCCCCAGCTCTGCCCACGCTTCGGCCCAACAGCCAGCGGAAGGTGGCTCAAGCGAGCAATCCCACCAGGGGCCACCCCACTCTCCGTGCCCCTGCGCGCCAGGTCTTTGCCCCACAACCCCCTCCCCGCCCACTCCGAGCCTGGCCCCGGCTGCGCCAGGACGTGGGGGCCGCTCGCCCCTCCGCCCCCAAGACACTGCGGCGCTCGGGGGGATCCTGCCCCTCCCCTTCTGGGCCCTACAGTGTCGGGGCAGCCCTGACGCGCCCCCGCTGATGGGGGATCGCGGTCACCGCCCCGCTCACGGCGCCCGGGGCCCAGGCAAGATGCAGGCGCGCTCCCAGCCCCCGACCCGTCCACACTCACCCCGACCCGGCACGCCGCCTTCCGCGGACTCCGAACCGAGCGCCCGCCCGTGCACATGCGCACCTTGCGCCTAGGGTCCCCTGAATGCGCACGTGCCAACTGTGTGCACATGCGCGTTAGGACATTGAACTCTCCCAGCGTCGGCGCCCATATTGTGCCCACACCCGAGCTGAATGGGGGGGACTGCGCCTCCTAGGGGAGGAGGCGGAGCAGCTCGGGGGTTGGCAGATGGGGGGATGGGACGGGGAGCGCTGGGGAGGAGCCGGGAGTGGCAGATGTGCTTGGGGCAGGGGGCGGGATAGCTCAGTGGGTTGAGCATTGGGGTGAAGGTTGTGAGTTCAATCCTTGAGGGGGCCAGTTAGGGATTTAGAGCAAAAATTGGGGATTGGTCCTGCTTTGAGCAGGGGGTTGGACTAGATGGTCTCCTAAGGTCCCTTCCAACCCTGATATTCTATGATAAGACTGGGAGCAGCTAGGCTCTGGAATGGTGGCTAAAGCATGAAGAGGCTCATGAATGTTTAGCATATCTGGCACTTAAATACTTTGCAATGCCAGCTACAAAAGTGCCATGCAAACATCTCTTCTCACTTTCAGGTGACATTGTAAATAAGAAGCAGGCAGCATTATCTTCTATAAATGTAAACAAACGTTTCTCTTAGCAATTGGCTGCACAAGAAGTAGGACTGAGTGGACTTGTAGTCGCTAAAGTTTTTCATTGTTTTGTTTTTGAGTGCAGTTATGTAACAAAAAAAATCTACATTTGTCAGTTGCGCTTTCACAATAAAGAGATTGTATTACAGTACTGTATGAGGTGAATTGAAAAATACTATCTTTTATCATTTTTACAGTGCAAATATTTGTAATAAAAATAATATAAAGTGAGCACTGTACATTTTGTATTCTGTGTTGTAACTGAAATCAATATATTTGAAAATGTAGAAAAACATCCAAAATATTTAATAAATTTCAATTGGTATTCTATTGTTTAACAGAGCAATTAAAACTGCGATTAATTGTGATTCATTTTTTAATCACAATTATTATTTCTTAATTAATCGCGAGTTAACTGCAATTAATCGACAGCCCTGATCACTTTGAATTACCTGAAAGAGAAAGGTTGGATCTTTATTAATTGTTCACAAGAGAACTAGGTTTTAATTTGCATGGACTAATTGCAGTCTTTTCACCAAACTGAGGCTACACTTACACTGTCCCATCCTCCAGGCTGGCTGAATCTTTATTTCTTCATGTCTTTGTTTATGATGGAATAACACCTAAAAGGGGCTTGATTGGACCGACTAGGTGGACAATACCAACACTAGCTATATTCTGCCATCAGAAAAAGTTGGATTTAGAGGGGAAATATTGACCAAATGTTAGTCAACCTTAGCTGAAATGACTTTTCCTCTTCTCCATTTGCAGCTAAGCTGTTGTTTGGCTCCATGGATTTCTCTCACCTATGTCTGCACCAAAATTGCTGATCAAAATAAAATATCTACAATTCAAGAGCATTGTGTGAATTTTGGAGGATTTGAGTCATAAACCAGTGACTAGATTACAAATGGGACAAAGATAGATTTTCAACTGTAAAGGATCTTGCTCTGTTGTTGCTTCTGTTTCATTTTGCCTCGTATCAGAATTTCAAGAGAAAGAGTACCTCTAAGCATGAATAAGACACAAACTATATGAACTATATATACTATATATTTGGCATCATCATTTGAAAAATATTGCTTTTGTAATTACTTTACCAAACCACCATGTGTGAGTCTACTGAAAGGAAATCACTTACCCAGAACCTGGCTTAGCCCTGGTCTACACCAGGAGTTTAGGTCGAATTTAGCAGTGTTAAATCGATGTAAACCTGCACCCGTCCACACGATGAAGCCCTTTTTTTCGACTTAAAGGGCTCTTAAAATCAATTTCCTTAATCCACCTGTGACAAGTGGATTAGCGCTTAAATCGGCCTTGCCGGGTCAAATTTGGGATACTGTGGATGCAATTAGACGGTATTGGCCTCCGGGAGCTATCCCAGAGTGCTCTGTTGTGACCGCTCTGGACAGCACTCTCAACTCAGATGCACTGGCCAGGTAGACAGGAAAAGGCCCACAAACTTTTGAATTTCAATTTCCTGTTTGCATGGTCACCTGCAGCTTGCCACGCTGGCCAGAGCTCATCAGCAGAGGTGACCATGCAGAGCTCATCAGCAGAGGTGACCATGATGGAGTCCCAGAATCGCAAAAGAGCTCCAGCATGGACCGAATGGGAGGTACGGGATCTGATCGCTGTATGGGGAGAGGAATCCGTGCTATCAGAACTCTGTTCCAGTTTTCGAAATGCCAAAACATTTGTCAAAAATCTCCCAGGGCATGAAGGACAGAGGCCATAACAGGGACCCAAAGCAATGCCACGTGAAACTTAAAGAGCTGAGGCAAGCCTACCAGAAAACCAGAGAGGCAAACGGCTGCTCCGGGTCAGAGCCCCAAACATGCCACTTCTATGATGAGCTGCATGCCATTTTAGGGGGTTCAGCCACCACTACCCCAGCTGTGTTGTTTGACTCCTTCAATGAAGATGGAGGCAACACAGAAGCAGGTTTTGGGGACAAGGAAGATGATGATGATGAAGTTGTAGATAGCTCACAGCAAGCAAGCGGAGAAACCGGTTTTCCCGACAGCCAGGATCTGTTTCTCACCCTGGACCTGGAGGCAGTCCCCCCCAAACCTACCCAAGGCTACCTCCCGGACCTGCCAGGCAGAGAAGGGACCTCTGGTGAGTGTACCTTTTAAAATACTATACATGGTTTAAAAGCAAGCATGTTTAATGATTAATTTGCCCTGGCATTTGCGGCTCTCCTGAATGTACTCCCAAAGCCTTTGCAAAAGGTTTCTGGGGAGGGCAGCCTTATTCCACCCACCATGGTAGGACACTTTACCATACCAGGCCAGTAGCACATACTTGGGAATCATTGTAGAACAAAGCATTGCAGCGTATGTTTGCTGGCATTCAAACAACATCCGTTCTTTATCTCTCTGTGTTATCCTCTGGAGAGTGATATCATTCATGGTCACCTGGTTGAAATAGGGTGCTTTTCTTAAGGGGACATTCAGAGGTGCCCGTTCCTGCTGGGCTGTTTGCCTGTGGCTGAACAGAAATGTTCCCTGCTGTTAGCCATGGGGTAGAGGGGGTGAGGGGCTAGCCACGTGGTGGGGGGAGGCAAAATGCGACCTTGGAACGAAAGCACAAATGCTGTTTATGTAATATTAACAGCAAGGTTTACTGTGAAAGAGTGTAGCCATTGTTCTAGAAAATGTGTCTTTTTAAATACCACTGCCTCTTTTTTTTTCTCCACCAGCTGCATGTGTTTCAAGGATCACAGGATCTTCTCCTTCCCAGAGGCTAGTGAAGATTAGAAGGCGAAAAAACGCACTCGTGATGAAATGTTCTCCGAGCTCATGCTGTCCTCCCACACTGACATAGCACAGACGAATGCATGGAGGCAGACAATGTCAGAGTGCAGGAAAGCACAATATGACCGGGCGGAGAGGTGGCGGGCTGAAGAGATTAAGTGGTGGGCTGAAGAGAGTAAGTGGCGGGCTGAAGAGAGGGCTGAAGTTCAAAGGTGGCGACAGCATGATGAGAGGAGGCAGGATTCAATGCGGAGGCTGCTGGAGGATCAAACCAATATGCTCCAGCGTATGGTTGAGCTGCAGGAAAGGCAGCAGGAGCACAGACCACCACTACAGCCCCTGTGTAACCAACCACCCTCCTCCCCAAGTTCCATAGCCTCCACACCCAGATGCCCAAGAACGCGGTGGGGGGGCCTCCGCCCACCCGGCCACTCCACCCCAGAGGATTGCCCAAGCAACAGAAGGCTGGCATTCAATAAGTTTTAAAGTTTTAAACTTTTAAAGTGCTGTGTGGCCTTGTCCTTCCCTCCTCCACCACCCCTCCTGGGCTACCTTGGTAGTTATCCCCCTATTTGTGTGATGAATGAATAAAGAATGCATGAATGTGAAGCAACAATGACTTTATTGCCTCTGCAAGCGGTGATCGAAGGGAGGAGGGGAGGGTGGTTAGCTTACAGGGAAGTAGAGTGAACCAAGGGGCGGTGGGTTTCATCAAGGAGAAACAAACAGAACTTTCACACCGTAGCCTGTCCAGTCATGAAACTGGTTTTCAAAGCTTCTCTGATGCGCACCGCGCCCTCCTGTGCTCTTCTAACTGCCCTGGTTTGTGGCTGTGTGAAACCAGCAGCCAGGCGATTTGCCTCAACCTCCCACCCCGCCATAAACGTCTCCCCCTTACTCTCACAGATATTGTGGAGTGCACAGCAAGCAGTAATAACAGTGGGAATATTGGTTTCGCTGAGGTCTAAACAAGTCAGTAAACTGCACCAGCGTGCCTTTAAACATCCAAATGCACATTCTACCACCATTCTGCACTTGGCATGGCATTAAGGGGTAGGCTGGGTCCCCAAGGATAATTATAGGCATTTCAACATCCCCAACAGTTATTTTCTGGTCTGGGAATAAAGTCCCTTCTTGCAGCTTTTGAAATAAACCAGAGTTCCTGAAGATGCAAGCGTCATGTACCTTTCCCGGCCATCGCACGCTGATGTTGGTGAAACATCCCTTGTGATCCACCAGTGCTTGCAGCACTATTGAAAAGTACCCCTTGCGGTTTATGTACTTGCCGGCTTGGTGCTCCGGTGCCAAGATAGGGGTATGGGTTCCGTCTATGGCCCCACCACAGTTAGGGAATCCCATTGCAGCAAAGCCATCCACTATGACCTGCACATTTCCCAGGGTCACTACCCTTGATATCAGCAGATCTTTGATTGCGTTGGCTACTTGCATCACAGCAGCCCCCACAGTAGATTTGCCCACTCCAAATTGATTCCCGACTGACCGGTAGCTGTCTGGCATTGCAAGCTTCCACAGGGATTGCCACTCGCTTCTCAACTGTGAGGGCTGCTCTCATCTTGGTATTCTTGCACCTCAGGGCAGGGGAAAGCAAGTCACAAAGTTCCATGAAAGTGCCCTTACGCATGCAAAGGTTTCGCAACCACTGGGAATCGTCCCAGACCTG